AGGAAAGCAATTTTCCGTTACACACAATTAAGGAGTAACGCTAGTGGAAGGAAAGAGATTGACTGCGTAGATTGATGGGAAGAACTCTGATAACGCAGTGTAGTGGAAGGAATTTTTTTGATAACGCAGTGCAGAAATTCTTATAACGCAGTGCAAGGGAAGGAACTCCAGAAAACGCAGTGTAAGGAAGTAACTTCCGTTAACGCAGTAACACAAGGGTGAAAACACAGACCTAACTTTAGTTCGATATGGAAAGTAAATGTTTGATGAGGACTTCTTAAAACTGCAGAAGCTCTTACGTGAAAGAGGTATTACAATTATTTGCTGATGAATTAACTAACAGATGCGTTTCTTTAAATATTCTTCTTGATTTAATAAATACTACAAGTAGTAAAAGTAATTAAACATTTTGAACACATGGTCGCCATTTTGGAGGTCATTCACAATATTTTTATATGCTTAACTTTTAGCATTAGGGATTATATCATATTTTAAATATTAGGATAAGATAAAAAATCTCTAATAATTCTATCATATCAACAGTTAATATTGATTTTAAGATATTTGTCAATTGTATTCAATAGAATATTGAACAAAAAATATGGCTGCCTCTTTTGGCAAATGTAAAAATCGCTGCGATTATCGGAAACTATCTATAGAATTTGATTTATAAGAACATGTTTCAGACAGTGTAAACCCATATTTTATAAGAAAATCCCGCCAATCTTTATGAGGCAGACGAATATTGAAGATTGTTGTACATGTATAATTATTCTATTGTTTTGAACTTCCGGCGTTTGACTCATTATCCAGTAAAATATATAAAACATCTCCAATTTTAAAGTTTACCCACCTTATTTTTTGTAATGGATTCGTTCTGCTTTAATTTTTGGAACTCTCCATTATCAATTTAGGGATATCAGAGTTATAAAGTTAGTCGGTCAACAGTATAAAACCTTGGTTCGTGCAAGTTTAAGGGTTAGAGTACAACATTTATTAGTATTTGTTCAGATTCATAATTATTCTTAGCCTGCTGTACAGGATATGCGTCACTTGAATTGTTCTAAAATTCTAAATCAGCTGATACAAATTCAAACAATGGCGTTGCGTCACCAACACTTTGCATGTCACATGGCGGCGTTGCAGCCTTGTCTCCCGTGCTTTATTTAATTCCCGTGCAGAACCTGATTTATGACCGTCCGGTCTTCCATAAGCAAGCTTGATGGTTGTCTCAAATAGAAAAAAATCTCGAACACACGGTGGTAAGGGACAAGATTTCAAGTCAGCAACCTTAGCCACTACACCAAAGTGACCTTAAATTACCATTTTAAACTTATTTCTAACATGGACTATTTTCATAGGGTCGTTTTATGAAAGTTTAAGTTTCAACAGCCTCTCTTTGTGTTTTCATCATCTTTTTTCACACAACTTCTACACTTTACAGTATCACGAAGAGTTGAGTAATGTCTGAAAATTAGGGCTGGGAATTATGTTCGAATATTCGAATATTCGAAACACTACCGAATATTCGAACATTGAAAAACGAATACGAATATTCGAAAAAAAAAGTGTTTTTATTGTAATTACTTTCAAATTTCAATTAAGATAGCAAATTAAACCATTGACCTTTACTTGCCAGTTGTTCACACATTTGTATGCCACGTGTCAACGATTATCGCCAAATAACTGTGAAAACTTTGGGTCTATAGTTGATCAAAAGGGCACCCGTTTCACAGTTTGCAATTTACCTGTTGAACAGAATATAATGTAATTTTCCGATTTTAATTATCTTATTTATTGTTTTCTGTGCAATAATCTGTCGATTAATCAGTCATTGTCTTAAATTTTGTGAAGACGAAAAAATGGACACGTATTAATCGGTGCTTTATGTAAGCATGGTCAGTGTCTATATTCGTCAAAATATATTTATTCCGTAGAAACTAAGACTCCGTGTGATATTTACTGCGTTATAGCTAAATGTATCTGAAGAATATTTTAAACCTTATCCAAAATTATAAATAAATAATATATTTAATTCAAGTTAAGTTTCAATGTAAATTATGTATTTTGGGGGCTAAGAAGCTACGGTGATTCATATTACTGTCAATCAAGTCACGCGAGTTACCTACCGTTAATAAGACCATGAAGACAAATGACCAGCAGTCGGATTAACTGTACAAAAGGCTGCAATCAAATTATAAATTTATTTCAAAAGTAAACATTTATGTCGATTTACAATATATAAAATAAAAAACTTTTACGTAGTTATATAGGTATGTTTAATCGTCGATAATTCCAAACATATTAAAATTGTACAGTATTCGACGCAATCAATTTCGGATACGTATACGTCAAAGAGAAATATTGGTACAAATGTTGTAAAAACGAATATTCGAATATATTCGAATATGGAAAACGAATATTCGAACATCAAATTCCTTATTCGTTCCCAGCCCTACTGAAAATGGAATGACGAGACTTTTATGGGATTTGGGAAAATCTGTCAAAATATGTTCTTATATATAATTGATTGTCCAAGAAATTATAAAACTTCTATTTTTTAAGATACCTGTACTAGTGATGGGTCGGCGCCACCAGAAGAACAAAGTCCGTCTGCTGTCGCAAATCTCGAACCACCGCCTGCGTATGATACAATAAACAGTGAAACGCATCAAGACGTTGCACCGCCATGTAAGTTTCCTTTACTTATTATTGAAGAGTTAAAAAAGGCAATATGTTTTATTGCTTAATATGTTAATGATGGACCTGGAACGTTAATACATACATTATGAGATTTCATCCTTACAACAATGTATTGTATATACTAGAATTGAACAGAATAGAATATTGTATAAATTTTTACTTGTACTTATTGTATATAGAATGTAGCAGTAGTTTAATTTGTTGTTGTGATTTTCACGCTTCATTTCGTTCATTTCAGACTTTTATAAACCGTAAGTACAGGTTTTTCTTTCACTATGCATACCTTGTAAAATACATGCATTTTGTAAATGTAGGTTTTTTTTTACCGGATAAAAGTCACTGACTTTTGACTTTGCATTCTTACTAGGGAAGTAACTATCCGGCTAGCATATTTTCAGCTGACTGGCAGTTCTACCCGTTCGCGCCTGAAATAATACATGGAAAGAAAGACACGCGAGACCTTTCTCAACCAGTGAAGTTGTTAAGTCGCCATATGAACTTCGTCGATGTGATTAAATACACAGCGAAACGAAATGTGTACTAGACTTAAAAGCTTAAAAAAAAATAAAATTTGAATTTCCTACGTATATCACCTGAGGTACTTAAAGGGAAACACAGGCAAAATTTTCATTCCTTATTTTTGAAGTTTTCATTCATTATTTTGTAAATGCCTTCAAAATAAATATATTAGACAGTCAAAGGAACGAAACTTTTCTCCATATAAAGAATAAAATGGTGGTTTCCTAACTTGACCCGCGTGGGTCAGGTTAGAGCGCTAGCATTTCACAATAGTTGTCAAAGTGAACTCTGGAAACGTTATTGAACATGTCAAATGAATGACTTAGGCTTGTTTCAATCATACAATATCCACAATATTTGTTATTGTAACTTCAAGGGTTTGTTCAAGTCACCTGACTTGTTTTAAAACTATTTGGTGATTCTATTGGCGTCTAAATTTGTTCAACATATATAGATATATGTACGCTTCAAACCCAAAATATTTAGAATTTAAACAGAAATACATGCTGTAACTTCAAGAAAAGTCATTTTAGCGTGATTTGAGAACTTAAGATCATTTTATTTTTTTTTGTCATTATTTTGCCTGAATATCCCTTTAAAATTATAATATTTGCGAATTTCAAAGATAATTAAGAAATATACTCAGATTAAATCAAATAATCCGATTTGAGTATAAAGCGTTGCAATGCTTTTCAATTTTGGATAATTTTGCACAATAAGAATATTTTTTTTCTAAAAAAACAAAACAACAACAAAAAAAAACCAACAAGAAAAATAAACCTGAGTGAGCGAACAATCTGTCATTTTGCACACAATTTATGGTCTAGATCTGCATCAAATGGAGCATTAATCTCGAAAGAATTTTCCAGTCCCATAATGCAAAAAAAAACCCTCAGAAAAGTCCCTTAAAAAAGGACTTTTCTGAGGTTTCTTGACATGATGGGACTGGAAATATTTTTTTTCCGAGATGTGTAGGTATAAACCTATAACATTTGTAAATATTTAGATCATTCTCTCACAACGTTTTTCTAGTATATTAATTTCTATTGTGCAATTTGACAGAAAAATGAAAAGCTTTTCTAAAATCGAGCTAACAATTTTTTCAATTAAATTCTGAATGTAATTTAATATTATTCTTTGCAGATTTTTCCATTTAAAGTGCTTCATTTTATCTGTGTAAAAACGAGTTTTATTATAAGCTTTTCATCTCAGTGGTTTAAGATAGTGATATTAATAAAACAAACGTTAACCAACTACGTTTCATGACGTAATTAATAACGTCACAGTAGGAAGAACGTCAAGACGTCACATAGTGACGGCAATCATAGAGCGGAGCTGGCCAAACATTGGCGGTTGGCAACAAGCTCCTCACAGCCTAAAATGGCTGGAAAAGATTATCAAGATCTAGTACTGGTTGATATAGAATACACAAAGATACATCCATTGGCAGAAAATGCAGACGACAATTTCAGAAAAGATATCACGGAAAGACATGAAACAGAGAAGGAAAGACTTGAACGTATAGCGGATATGTTTTTAGCTAGACCGCTTTACAGCAAAGAGAGTATTGACTATCAACGTAAAATGAAGAGAAAAGACGAAAGTGTAGAGCAACTTACAAGCAGTTGTTTGCAACCTAAATCTGAGAGTGTCAAACAAGATCTAGCAGTAATTGACTTCGAATACGCTGCAATACATTCAACTGACGAAAATCTTAAAAAGGATAATCCTAAAAGGCAAGAAACAGAGAAGGAAAGACTTGAACGTATAGCAAATGTGTTTTTAGCAAGACCGCTTTACAGCAAAGAGAGTATTGACTATCAGCGTAAAATAAAGAGAAAAGACGAAAGTGCAGATCTACCTACAAGGAACTGTTTTCAGTCTAAAGCTGGGAGTGATAAACAGGATCTAGTAGTAATTGACATCGAATACGCTGCAATACACCCAACTGACGAAAATCTTGAGAAGGATAATGTGAAAAGGCAAGAAACAGAACAAGAAAGGCTTCATAGAATAGCAGACATGTTTTTAGCCAGGCCAGCCAATGTCGGAGATAAATGTAAAGATGCCAATGTTAGAATAACGAAGAGTGACGATGAGGTGACCACTAAAAAGGCGATGAAGAAGAATAAGAAAAGGGTAAGTTTCAACAATATGTTTTCTGTCCGATCATATTAAAACTGATAAAACATGTCAATATAATTCTTATATTGCTTTGATTGTTTTAACTTTAAAGATTAAAAAAGACAATGTCGGATAATTTTTTATAAATGAACATTTTGGTAGCAATATTTATGTTGCAAGTTTCCCGTCGCCTAAACACATATACGCATTAAGTTTAGTCCACCTGGTTAATTGATTAATTGCAAGATTAAATTTGTAAGGTGACTTGCCGAAAATATTTTTGGATTCTTTCACCCGCAAACAAATGAACTATTTTGGAATTTTAAATTCCAACATATTTCATTTGTTTGCGGGTGAAAGAATCCAAACATATCAGAAATAAACTATAATGCATTTATTTGACATAAAATCAAAATACATATACAATGTTTCTTAATTTTAATATTTATTTTAATGGAAATTTCTATTCTTTTTAATTGTACAACAAATCTAAAATTTGCCATTTATGTTTTCTTTTGGCAATAGACTGTGCAGAAACAGAACGCAACCCAGGCAATCAAGGTACAGCAGCCGATGGAAGCAATTATTGAGTGTAAAACTGCAGACGACACGAAGAAACGCGAACAACATCCGGGCTGCTTCGGGTTCATCAGAGCTTGGGTGGAGAAACGATCATTGAAGAGAAAAGAGAAAAAGCTGAAGAAGAAAGGCAAAATGGATGAAAATTTTAGCGACATTATAACAAAGATTCAGAAGTCCCCCAAATTTTATGAAGCAGACGACACGGCCAATACTGGACTTGTTAGTGACGCCTTGGAGAATGGCCGCGTCGAAAGAATAGCTTTCAATTAAAATTGTTTCTGACCGACTTAAACTCACAGCAGTAGATTAATACTATGTTTTGTTGTTGTTGAAGACTTGATACAAAAATGTAAAATAAACTTGAGATAAAAATATGTAAAGTCGTTAGTGACAGTAAAAAATATCAATGCTAGAAATGTTGGAAATTCTCGAATTCGTTTCACATGATCACACATGTATATTGCTTGTCATGTGATACAGAATAATTATACATGTACAAACTTTCAAATTAGTAATAGTGGTTTCACCAGTTCTGGCTTTAAAACAGACACAATTCCTTGAAATCCGCTTTCTTCCGCTTTTCATAGCAAACACTTTTACAAATAAAAATTGTTTTATTTCCATCACTCTTTTGTTCTTTATTCATTTACATTTTTTGATCGATTGTAAGGGGGCGGAGGAGGGGATGGGGTGGTGTATGTCATATCGGCAGGCACGGTAAAGGCCACTTACAGTTTGTTTGCTAACTTGCAAATAGAAGACGATAGATGAAATGTATAAGTATTGTTTGGAAACGGTGTGAGCTATAGTTCTATCCCCTAACGTTATGGAAAAATAAATGTCAATCCAAATTGTAGTGCCTTCGGAACTTTGATTATATCTACATATCTGACTTCTGCGATGAATGGATGATGGTGGTGTATGTCACATCGACAAGGTCAAGGTCATGTGGCGACTGTCAAGCTTTTTTAAAAACTGGTTCCCCTCTTTGTATTATTTCAAGAATCACCGATCTTCCTAGCTTGCTAGAAAGGTAATATGAAAAAAATCTTATTACACCCATACTAACAGCGGTGAGGAGGAAGTGAGTTTGAGTCAAATACCTTAACTCGTTGGCCATGAAGAGCCATTTCATGTACGTCGGTCAAAAGCACCAGAGGTTCATTGTCACTAAATCGTTCATAATGTTACATTCTAAAAAGGCTGGTTAGTTGGGACCTGAGGTCACCACCTTTGATATCGTACACAGTCACGCTCACTGCAATGACGTTTTCAAAACTTCTTTACATTTCATATTGTATTGATTTACTTTTAAAATTGTATATATTTCATCCGAGCATTTCCGATTAATTGACGCGCGTAAGAAAGTGTGCTCAGTAATTTTGAAATCTTGCATTTTTTTTGTTGATAAAAAGCGATAGATGAAATGTACAAGCATTGTCCGAAAACGGCGTGAACTATTGTTAAATCCCCTAACGTTACGGAAAAATAAATGCCAGTCGAAACTTCCACAGAAACAATGTAAGGCCAAATGCTTGACACTGGTCATGTGGAAGTATGTAAACAAGATGTTCAAATTACCACAATGGGTATTAATTAGCCAAAGGCTATCAGCGTATCGTTTTTTTACTGTGACAGGCCGGGCTCATGCCGCATGTTACTTGTTTTGCTTCAAATTTCGGACATTCTGTTGTAGAAGTACATGTATATAATAATCCTACTATCCTTCTTACAACGGTTGTATATTGTTTGTGGATTATAGGGAGGATCAAACAAATATTGATGTTCTGCCACCGGAACCAAACCCTGGGGCAGCAGACGTACTTGTGCCACCATCAGAAAAACCAGTAAGCAGTTTGATGTATATGAGCTGCGCCATAACATAACTTACAAAATGTGTTTGCGACCAGCATGGATCCAGACCAGCCTGCGCATCCGCGCAGTCTGATCAGGACCCAATGTTGTTCGCTATCAGTTTCTCTACTTGTTATAGGGTTGGCAAATCCTGATAAGACTGCGCAGATGCAAAAGCTGATCTGGATCCATGCTGATCGCAAACGCATTATGTTGGTTTTGTCATAACGCGGCTAATACATATTTTTTGATATCATGTCAGTAGTATTTTAAAGGCCCATTATTCCTCAGAAATGCATTTATTTTTCATTTAATTTATTTTTGGCGTACTTTTATAGTTTCAATAACGTTATTCGTTGGCCAATTACATGAACCATCTTTTTCGTCTGTTGCTTTAGCAATAAGTACAGTAACAGTGATTTAGTATTTTGTATGGAAGTCAATATACTACTTTGTTTACGTTTTGTTACATTTATAACAAGTTTATCGATATTTCTATTAGGTTACAAGCATTTAACCGGCTCTAAAACCAATATTTAAACGTAATAAATTCATGTTTGTCCTTTCTAAAGAAGTTAAAATGTATTCGTTTTTGATGGATAATGTGCCTTTAATGTTAAAGTTCCCATTTATTTTATTTACATCAAGGATTTTATTGTGTTTCGAATACATCCCTATTTTTTCTGCGAATTCTTAAAACATTTACATAATAGCTTATAATTTAATTCTTCGCCGCTTGTTTGCGCATGCGTACTTACTAATTTATTGACGTATTAATTAAAAACAAAGGTTGAAACAGCAGTTGACGAGAAAAAAACAGAAACAGATGAAGACCTTGATGCAATGTCGTGCTTTTTAGTATGTAAGTAATTTTGTATTTTATGTCTGTAAAAGCGAAGATAAGATTATTTGTTTGATTCCATATTTTAAGAAGTGGATATACTCTGTTCATAGTGTTTGCACTATTTAGGGAAACTAGCACTTATTAAGAATTAGATTTCTTTTTTAACACAACCTGCTTTACAGTATATTTCCACTCTTAAAGTATTTACACTCATTATGCCGCAAGAAATATTTAAATTTTTATTTCTCAAAAGATATTTGTTTTAGTGTTCTGTTGTAGTGTCTAAAAGGTTACTCATTGGCAAATAACCTGGACCATCTTTTGCTTCTGTTGTCTTTTTATAATCAGTACAGTAATTTGTGTGGAAGCCAAAATACTACTTTGATTACATTATGCTACTGTTATGAAGACAACTTTTACATTCAGAGCTAATTTTTCAGATGATAATCATATAACATGGTCTTAAACCTTTATCTATTCGTTACATAACTCACATTTTACTTTTCTGAAGAATGAAATATTTATTCGTTTCTTGGGCATAAAAGCCGCATAATGTGCCTTTAATTAACTGTTCAAAATTTCGATTATAATCCGAATGATGTCTTTTTTGGTTCAATGTTGAAGCCTTTATGTCAGTGCTACTACCTCCCGAGTACGGCCTTCTTTTAAGAAATAACCTCTATACAACAATTGTGTTGCTTTAATTTCAAAAGTAAGACTTCACAATAAATGTTACCTCTGTAGAGCAACACCATTCAGCAACCACTGAGCTATTTGTGTCCCCCAAATGTATTGCCCTGCAGAGGATGTACTATACCGTATTTTATTGTAGATTTCTTTGTTTTACAGCATCATTTTGCCTGATTGGGGTAGCAATTGCCGGACTAAGCATAGCTAAAATTGCCATGGGTATAAATCTCATCTTATAACAGTAAACTAAGATATAAGCTATATGAAAAACAACTTAATATTCAACATTATTTTTTATCAAGTTCAATCGATAATTTAAAAACTGCTGATTTTTTAAATAATTTAATCAGTATCTAATTATAGTTTTGTTATATAATTTTTTGAACTATTGTAAATCTATATTAAATTATTTTTTTGGATGGAGTTTACGTCGCACGAACACTGTGATGATCAATGGCGACATTTCAGCATTACTGATGGAGGAATACCTCAGGAGCCCTTTTGTGCATTATTTCAGTGGCAAACGTTCACCTAAGTAGAACCACTGATGGTCGGAATGCTAGTTGCACTAAAATATCTGAAGTCCCTAGCGGGATTCGAACCCAGATTGGAGAGAGGTAAGTGCTTTGAAGCCAACGGCCTTAACCACTTGACCACGGACGTCCCTTTAAAGTAAATTATTACATAATCTTTTAATTATTTTACAATTTGTTCTGGAAGTAGGATTAATAATTAAAATGTTCAAGGCCTTCGGGGCGTATTGTGGTATGGCGTTGTCTGTCCGTCAAAATGTGCGTAGACAATTATTTTGTGCAGCATTACTTCTGAAAGATTTATATTTTGGCATGCAAGGACGTTAAATATTAACTCCGGCCAAGATCGATTTTGGCTGCAATCAACTCATTATTGATAGACTAATGTCCATTTTGTGAAAGTATTGGTTATCCTTCAAGAATAACATTTGTTTATATTTGGCATATAAGTATGTACAATCACAACACAAGTAAAGTTCGATTTTCGTTGCAATCAACTCATTATTAATAGAGTAATGCCAATTTGAAAGAAACTTTAAGTAAAATTATTGGTTTCCGCAGAACAACTTTTGAAGGATTTCAGTGATTGTGCTTATATTTGGCATATAAATCGCAACACAAGTCAATGCAATCAAATTAATATTAATAGAGTAATTCCCCTTTATAAGCAATTTTTAAGTGGTTTCCGCAGTAAAGCTTTGGTAGGATTGTGATTGTGTTATATCACAACACAAGTTATATTCGATTTTCATTGTAATCAACTCATTTTTGGAAGAGTTATGTCTCTTTTTTGAGTAAATTATGAAATTATTGCTTTGGATTTCATTTCACTGTATTTATATTTGGCATGCAAGTATAACACTGATCAAATTAAAAAAAAATCTGCAATCAACCAATTGCAACGTTGATTTAATTGATTTTTTATTCAAAATTAAATCAAGGCAAACTATTCAATTATATTATATGTTAACTTGTTACCTAGGAAACATTATAATGTACATTTTTCTTTTGCATTTGATGGAAAAGTCATAACATGAGCCATTTGCAACAATAAATTTGCTTTCGTTCTGTAAGGCACATTTTTGGCCACAACCTTCTTGTACGTTAGTCATCGGGCATATGTTGCTTCTACGTGTGTTCCGTTAGGGCCAGTGCGTTTTCTTTGAGAACGAGATGCGCCAAACATGACATTACGATGGTGACAGTTCAACAATACGTTGATGACAGTACGACAGTACGATGGTAACGATACGACGGTACGATGGAGAAACACGGCAGTACGATTGTGACAGTAATGTCGTATTGTCACTAAAGTACTGTCGCCTTCTTGTTGACAGACTGTCACAATCGTACTGTCGTATTGTAACCATCGTACTGTCATGTTTTGCACTTTTTGTTCCTAGAGAAAACGCGCTGGCACTAACGGAACACCGTTTGCTACGCTTCGGCGAATCTCTTGTTATTTTATAGATTTCATTTTATCTATTCAATCAGGATCGTCATATCTACACGACTGTGATATCCGATTTATGATCCCAATTTACCTCATTGTGAGCGGGCTTGCACCGCTATATTTCACAAAACTTATCTGCGGAGGTGATGATAGTAGTGACTGCTCTCTATGGCAGATATGCTGGTCAATCGCTGGATTCTTATTTTGTCTTGCCTGGCTTATATGCGGTATGAATTATTTTATTTCTGATCATTTGTTTTGTGACCATGCCACGCGAAAGTCTTGCTTGGGTTAGGGCTTTGGGCCTTATATTGTGTAAAACCCCAGTCACACTAGAGCTTACGATTACTTGCGACTACCGGCGACGTGTAATTAAAACCGACGATCATCGGCGATTGTCTGCGACCAAGCCCTCTTTGAACAGATAAATTTACTTCATCATCATCATTAACAATCGCACAACGGGTCATCAGGAAACGTGCGATGGTCTCAAGATTGCCTGGGATTACTTACGACTACCCGTGACCTGTTATGCGATCACCTACAACTTGTCGTACGACCATCACATGATTACTAAAGAGTACTCAAGATTATCAGTGACTAGTGGCAATTTATAGACTGTCGTACGATTGTCGCACTTTCGAGCGACGATCGTGCGACACCCTTAGACCTTATAAGATCACTAAAGCCCCAGTCACATTAGAGCTTACGACCAGTGAAGACCAGTTCACGATCACCAGTGACCTCTGGTCGCGGACAATCTTTAAAACGCCTTACGACGGTCATCGATGATCTTTGACAGTCGCAGGTTATCTTATTTAGGTCCCACGACCAATTTCAGTCGTAGAGAGGTTTTTGAGCTTGCACAAAAACCTCCTTGCGATCAAACAGGTCGCTAGTGATCTTATAAGGTCTTAAGGCTGTCGCACGATGGTCTTTCGGAAGTGCGACAAACTTACGACAGTCTTTACAAATTGCCACTAGTCACTGATAATCTTAAGTAGTCTTAAGTAATCGTGTGATGGTCGTACGGCAAGTTGTAGGTGATCGCATGTTATGTCACGGGTAGTCGTAGGTAATCCCAGGCAATCTTGAGACCATCGTACGTTTACTTATGACCTGTCGTGCGATTGTCAATGATGACTTGTCTTACGATACTCGCAAAAGTAAATTTATCTGTGCAAAAATGGTTTCGGTCGCAGACAATCGCTGATGATCGTCAGTTTTACAAGTCGCCGGTGGTCGCAAGTAATCGTAAGCTCTAGTGTGACTGGGGTTTTAGCAACCTGTTTGATCGCAGAGAGGTTTTTTTTTTGTGCAAGCTCCAAAAACCTCTCTACGACTGAAAATGGTCGTGGGACCTAAATAAGATAACCTGCGACTATCGAAGATCACCGATGACCGTCTTAATATGTTTTCAAGTGGTCACTGGTGATCGTCAACTGGTCTTTTGTGGTCGTAAGCTGTAATGTGACTAGGGCTTAAGGAAGACCCTCCAAACTAGTACAAAATCGAATCGGCAAAGAAATCAGACAAATGTTGTTTAAACTGCTGGCTCGAGAAAATTGTGTTTTTTAACGAAAATTTAGTTGTTGGTTTGTTTTTAGCTTTTTTTTTGCAACAAATTGTTCTTTTTGTGAGTGTGTGAATGATAAATGCGCCAAAGAGTGTGAATGAGAAATTGTTTAACTATTATTATTATAGATAATAATAATTAAATTATAATATAAGACAGATTAAATAACCATAATAGATTCGGTATTGGAATAGCTTAACTTTTATTATTGGTATCGCCGTATGGTATGAACATTATAAACTCGGTATTAAAATAGGTTCAGTATGGGAAATTAGGTTCGGTATGGGAAAATAGGTTCGGTATGGGAAATTAGGTTCGGTATGGGAAAATAGGTTCGGTATGGGAAATCAGGTTCGGTATGGAAAATTAGGTTCGGTATGGGAAAATAGGTTCGGTATGGGAAAATAGGCTCGGTATGGGAAAATAGGTTCGGTATGGGAAATTAGGTTCGGTATGGGAAAATAGGTTCGGTATGGGAAAATAGGCTCGGTATGGGAAAATAGGTTCGGTATGGGAAATAAGGTTCGATATGGGAAGATAGGTTCGGTTTGGGAAATTAGGTTCGGTATAGGAAATTAGGTTCGGTATGGGAAATTAGGTTCGATATGGGAAAATAGGTTCGGTACTGGAAAATAGGTGCGGAATAGGTGCGGTATCGGAATATTTTAACTATTTCTATAGGCATGGCGTGGAAACAGTTAAACAATTACTATTATTATATTGTTCATCTATTCTATGTTCATCGTTATCGTTATTATCCTTTTACCCATCAGTTTAATTGTTAGACTATTATACGATTCAATATGAGTCTACCTTACTAAAATTGTATTGTTTCACTATAATTATTATAGTTTTGATATGGGCTTACCTTACGTAAATTGTATTTTTCAAAAATCCTGTAACTCAATTTTTTGATGGTTTTATAACATAAATATAATGCTCAAATGAAGATTTATCAATATCGTAAGTTCCAAAAAGCAATATTTGTAAAGATGTTTCCGAATTTACACTTCATGTTAATAAAGGGAGATAATAAGAAATTTATTTTCTTTAAAGTCTTAGTCAAATTTTTCAATGAGAAATGAATGCACATACGTCGATGAGTACATATATGTGGAAAAATATTTGCAGTACATATTTTACATACTCTTCTATGTTTGAAAATTGTTTAGAATTTCACTTAAGTGTGGTTACAACCTTAATTACAACATACAGGATCTTTAACTATTATTATAGGTTCGGTATGGGTCTACCTTACTAATATTGTATTGTTGAACAATTATTATAGGTTCGGTATAGGTCTACCTTACTAATATTGTATTGTTGAACTATTATTATAGGTTCGGTATAGGTCTACCTTACTCAAATTGTATTGTCTAACTATTATTATAGGTTCGGTAAGGGTCTACCTTACTTATATTGTATTGTTTAACTATTATTATAGGTTCGGTATGGGTCTACCTTACTTTAATTGTATTGTTTAACTATTCTTATAGGTTCGATATGGGTCTACCCGATTTAAATTGTTTTACCTAAATATTTTATAGGTTCGGTATGGGTGTACCCTACTTATAGCACTGTGAAGGCAGAAGACTTCAGACCGTGTACCGCAACAATAACAGAAAATTGTTCTTATGGAACTTGTGACACAGTTATTATCAAATTTGCATTTGCCATGGTCACGCTTGATTGGATTTTTCTGGTGCTAATGATAGTACTTTTTATTTGGGCAATGTTTTCAGATAAAAGTGATAAAAATTGAAAACATTCGAATTTTGGCTTTCTTATGAAAGCAATGTATGAAGACAAAAGGAAACGCTTTGGTGAAATATGAGTTTAAAGGCATATACATGTATATTACAGTTACATAAATACATAATTTATAAGAATAATGGAAAATGTGTAATACAAGGTTTTTTTTACAGATATTAATTTTTAGTTATCTGCCCTTGAATTTGAAAATTTCCTTAATATCTGAAGGACAGGTAATTCACAGTTACTCGTAAGATGATCAAAAATTTGTTTTTCATATACATTTTACATGTAGCTGACTTTTTTTCGTGTCACTGAAAAATTTAAAGCACTGCTTTAGGGTATTTTTTTAATGTTCTTCTTTTCAAGTGAATGGCCTATAATGAAATGTCATCAATATACCTTTTTACAATACGATTCTTCCATAGCAACCAATGTTGCATTTCGCGCATGCGCATTCTGCGTAGGGCAAAAGCGCAATAAAATTGACAACAATGTATGATACTTTAAGGCTTCAATAGTCGTTAATAGCTTTTAGTAACGGACATAATAACAAACCACGTAAAATTATTCATAAATGTTATTGACAAGTATGTGATATATAAGCCAACACAACATAATTATATCTATATAGCAATTAATGAAATGTTTTAGAACAAAATATTAATATTCATCGTAAAAAAATTTCATAGGATCTAAGACCTTTGTCAACCTTTTTTCCCCCGAATAATTGTTTCACAAGAATATCCAAATTATACAATTCTATTGTTTTTATTTGTATTTGAAATAATTTTGGAAAATATTCCCATTGTAGACCAATCCACTTTAAACCTAAGCCAATTTTCTTTACAAAATGGTATATTTTTAATGAATTTTCAGTCATTTGACATTGAAAAAAAATGTAACAAAAACGTTTAATGAAACGAAATTTTTTATTGTGACAATGGATAAAGTAAAAAAAGTAACCAGAAGAAAAAGTAAGGTATGCAAAACCTTTATGTAAGTTAACTTCCTTTGACATCACTGAAATTTGCAACTTCAAGGGCAGATAATTATGTTGTACATTTTTCATTCTGCCTTAATGCCTTTATCAAGTATAGCCTTAAAGTTCCTAGTACCATTGTCATATTGTTGTTTTTGGCTTGTAAGACAGACTGAGTCAGGACCGCGGCAACAGCATCGACATAGGCGGTATATCGATATAGGAGGTATATCCATATAAACGATTTCTTTTTAAGAGGAGTTTACTGTAGATGGATTATCTTGCATTATTGAAATGTTATACAGGTAATTTTACTCACGTGACTTGAGGTGTACGGACAGAGAAAGTGAGCATTGTTGGTATATCAGTTGAGTAAATGCCTCTACAGAATTAAGCATATCATAATTATGTTACGATACAAGAGTATGAAATTGATACATAAAATATGCCTTAGATTTTTTACCTTTTGCTTAAATAAATTATTTGAAAATTCTCAATTTGCTGTTGTACAATTTTTTTTCGTATATTTTCTTATTTTGTATGATGTAACTTTTGTATGATGTACATGATGATGTATAATGTGGAGGCTATGAAGTAAAACAAACGTCCTATCATTTATCTCTACATATTTGTCAGTGATAATATCTGAATGTTTTGCTATACAGTTTTTGCTATAAATAAAGTTAATGTTTTGTATAGGAAACTGTATTTTGTATCTTATTGTATCTTAAATTAGCTCCCTTGATGTCATACGTCCATTAAGTTCCAAATAGTATGTGTCGTCTGCAATTCCAAAAATGTTTACAATATAGATCTCTTGAGATATAGTGCATACGTCATGTGATGTACGATTTCGAAATACTTATTAAAAAGTAATTTTACATCATATTCCGAGACAAGTTTCTAATAGGATCCTACACGTCTCATTACCTGCATATTGACCTGTTAATTGCTTTAATATAGAGATCTGAGACAATTTAAGTACATGTGTTTGTCATTTATGACACAATAGTGGTTCTAAAAAAAATCACGTTCACTAAATCACTACATCAGGAAAATTCTACAAAAGTAGTAAAGGGATTACACCGCCTTCTGATAAAGTTAAGCTTTTTTTACAGAAAAATTATCAAGTAACAACAAAAGTAAACGATTACCTGTATCAAGTGATGATCTTTACGATATTCCCAAATGTCACGTGGGTTGGCCACCAGGATTAAGGTGTTAAAATTTAATTGCAAAACTGTTAGCCATTGAAGAGATAATGTATATAGGACTTTCCAAAACAGTTATAAATCAGAGCGGGCGCTGTGGTGCAGTGGTAACACTGACTGTCTACGAATCAAGGGGTCGCAAGTTCGATCCCCCGCTACTCCACATACTAAATGACTAGCGACTGAACGGATAAGAACATACAGATAATACATACAGCAGGTAATGTTAAACGGAAACACACAGAAATACACATACATGAACAGACTTAACAAAAATAGACAGACATGGACATACTTAATAGAAACACAGAAGTACATATACATGGGCATACTTAGCATATGTGAACTGACATAACATACATACACAGAAATACACATACTTGGACATATGTAACGGAAATACACATACATGGACAGACATACACATACAGACTGACTAAACGGAAATACATAAGCAAGCACATACAGGGACGGACTTAACGGAAATACACAGACACATACGGGTACATGCATAACGGAAATACACAGACACAGTAGAATCCCTACTTAAGACCACCCCGGAATTAAGACCACCCCGCTATTGAGACCATTTTTTAAAAGTACGGATTTTTCTGTTCTTTATGTCAATGGTTACATGATCCAGAATTAAGACCACTTCGCTTATCCACTTTTAAGACCACCAGATTCAGTCCCAATTCTTTGTTTTGTTCTTTATTTTACCCCACTATTGAGACCACTGATTTAAAGTTAACACCTACCTAGATCTTAAATTTGCGGTTATTATCATGTTAAATGCTCTAAGGCATGACACCTAATTTCACAAGGTGTCAAAAACACCGTTTATCATTGGGGTATTGTATGAAATAAGGTGAGAAAGTAAATTTTAGAGTGGTTTAATCTTGCTTTAAGTACATTGAATATGGGAAGAACTAATTTTTTACTTGATGGGTGAATTATGTACATCATATTATAATTAATATTGAAATTGATATTGAAATCAGACAAAATAGAATTTGATATTAAATTACTTTCTTCCAATCAGATATTAATTTATAACATAATCAGATATTAATTTATAACATAGTTTTATGTTGTATTTGCAGGTATATATATTGTTTGTTCATACAAAATGACAAAAATAGACCATGGTTAAAAAGTGTGTAAGCATTGATAAGAATATTCACAATTAAGACCACCCCGCAATTAAGACCACTTTTGTCCAGTCCCGATGGTGGTCTTAATTGAGGGTTTTTACTGTACATAGACGGACTATATTATAATACAGGCTTAACGGATATAAACATACAGATGCAGACTTAACAGAAACACACAGACATACACAAACATAAACATACTAAACAAAAATACATAAACATACACATACATGTATGTATAAATTTTAACACCTTACTGGTGGCCAAAAATACATAAACATACACATACATGGACAGACAAACACATACATACAGACAGACTTAACGGAAATACATGGACAGACATATACAGACACACTTAACGAAAATACACAGACATACGCATACATAGGCAGACATACACATACAGACAGACTTAACGGGAAAAGACAAACATACACATACAGGGACAGACTTAACGGAAATACACAGACATACACATACATGGACAGACTTAATGGGAAAATAAACATACATGCACATACTAATCGATCATACACATAAATACACATACACGAACAAACTAAACGGAACCACACATACTTAACGGAAATACTCAGACTCAGAAAAACACATACATTGACATACTTAAAGGAAGCACAAGGAATACACATATAAGGACGGTCTTAACAGAACTGACCATAATAAGCCATTGAAAGACATTTGCACATCCGTAATAGACCAAACGGATTCTGTACATATATGATTTAAATAATACACAATACATGTATATAGACTACCAGTAGTTGTAAGAAAGAACTGAAACGTTATCGTGTTCGACTTATACAATCTGAATCAGAGACTATACAAACAGTTTCAAAGACAACAACTGCACCGTAGGGAACGTGTTACAGTATCGCGTTTTTGGGTTACAGTATAGAATTTCCAAGATGGAGGATTATTTATGGGAAGAGCGGTAGGTGATTTTTACTCAGGTCCATACTACTAGTAGTTTAGTTTCTAAAATATGTTTTTGTGCTTTAATTGCTTGTAAGGAACAGAATCCGGTATCTAGTCATATATTTCTTCAGACCCTGCACCGCAGATTTATCTCTATATTGTCTCATAAATGTGCAGATTTGACAGTCTAAAAATTTGAATCGAGAGACCAACGCATTTTTCTCCCATTCCGACATTATTAAAGCATGCCTAGATAAAGTAAATCTACAAAACGTTAGTCCTTTGTGTTTAGAAACGTTTATAAAAGTAAATGACCAGTAGAACCTATTTTCCTGTTGGTAAAATGCGTTTGAAAAAATAAACAATGTTACAGTATAGAGCGAGGTTAATTTTGAAGGGTTACAGCATAGACCTAGCGACTTTGATCCAGTTATGTTACAGTTTATACCCAGAGTTCGGTTACAGTTTAGATACTTGCAAAATTTCAAGCAAAGTTCGTGTATCCATTATTTTAATGAAATAACTCATACCTTTCTATTTAATACATTCTTGAAAGGTTGTATTACTTTTTTTCAGCAGAAAAGTTATAGTTTGCTATTTTTCTTACTTTAAGTTTCAGATTGAGAGTTTTTGCAGAATAAGTAATGTCCTAAGTAAGGACTGTTTTCACGACAACAACAGTAACTTTTATCGAATTGTATTGAGAGAAGAAAGATTATTGCTTGATTTCATTACACATTATAATAATGCCTATTAGTAATTAAATAGAGAAAAAGGAATCCTTAACAGAAGTCCAACATGGAAAACATGAAAATGTTGCATACTCAGTTTGATGGACGGTAGTGGTAACTGCTAGCTACCGTCCACGCCTCCTAGCACCGGCTTCAGCAGAATTCACATTAAACATGAACTAGTACACTTTAGATTTTTTAACATCTGTGGATGTGTTCATATGGCGGTTATCATGGAACCTTCAATGTGACACGTTATTGCCATTCTATGAAAAGCGGCATATTACCACCAGGTTAAAAATTGCGTGTGCCCTAAACAAGAATACAATGAGTGAAACTAAATAAAATGAAATTTTGAGAGGGGATCGAAGGTTATGAAGCCTGCATACCATAGATAAGCTGTCAAAAGACACAATTAACAAGTAGGCAATACCCTAAGAATGATTAAACAGTATTTGAGTGAGCAATAATGCTATCTTAAATTTTATTTTAAGTTGGAATTTCCATCTACCATAATGTATTTTGTAAGTATTTAAAAGGGTTTGTTACGTTTGGCTTTCTTGGATTTTAAGTTTCAACGACACTGAGGTCATGTGAAAACATTCCTGCTTTAGTGTAAAGAAATACCCCAGATACCCTTTGTGAAACATTCAGACACAAGCGGGCACCTGACTAGAACCACCGACCTTCCGTAAATTAGCTTGATAGATTCCTCACATACAAAGAATCCAAAGTCATGATTGGATTTCAACTAAAGCAGTAAATGAAAGATGATTTGATATGGACGGCCTTATCCCGACTCTGCCACTATACTATTATGTACCTCCATCAGGCTCACTGGAGAAGATATTGTAATTGTCTGACCTTAGTTTATACTCTATAACTTTTAATATTATTTTCTTTTTCAGAAACATGAAAACTGCTATACAGGATATCTGAAATAAAAAACACGACTTTTAATTTAAAAATGACAAAATAATCGTAACTTCAACAAAGAAGCATTCGAAATGACGCCATGATCATGATTTGATTTGAATGCTTTTGGTTCGAGATGAGAAGGGTCTTTAAACATTGCCTTTTTTCAAAATCTATGTTTTGGGTTTTCGTATCCCCGATTACAACCAAAACCATTTGAACAACTTAGGTAGAAAGTCATGTAAATTTCATCACATTTAGTCAAGTTGCTACTGAGCGGATGAAATTGCATATACATGTGTACGACAGACGGACTAATAGCCATCGGGCCAATAAGCTCACAGAGATTTAAAAGTCTATGTAACATTCATACATTTTACCTAGTATATATAGAAAATATCGAAGTCTAAACTGTAACTGAAATATGGGTATAAACTGTAACAAAATCGGATAAAAATCGCTAGGTCTATGCTGTAACCCTGCACAAATCACCTCGCTCTATACTGTAACATTGTTTATTTTTTCAAACGCATTTAACGAACAGGAAAATAGGTTCAACTGGTCATTTACTTTTATAAACGTTTCCTAACATAAAGGACTAACGTTTTGCAGATTTACTTTTTCTAGGCATGCATAAATAATGTCGAAATTGGAGAAAAATGCGTTGGTCATTCGATTCAAAATTTCAAACCGTCAAATCTTCATATTTATGAGACAATATAGCGATAAATCTGCGGTGCAGAGTCTGAAGAAATATATGACTAGATACCGGATTCTGTTCCTTACAAGCAAAGCACAAAAACATCTTTTAGAAACTAAACTACTTGTAGTATGGACCGGAATAAAAATCACCTACCTGTCCTCCAACAAATAATCCTCCATCTTTAAAATTCTATACTGTAACCGGAAAACGCGATACTGTAACACGTTCCCTACGGTGAACTGTTAGGAAATAGAAACTGTATTAACAAAACATACAATCTTCAACTTGAAATAATTATTCTGTCTCATACACATACCAATCTACAACTCATACAGCTCAAATATATAAAACTAACGAATAACAACTTATTAAATTAGAATTGACAGTGTGTTAAAAACAGAACTTTGTCTGGCATATCTCAAAATGTTTAATATACAACTTTATATATGGATATAAAACACACATTTATACAAAACTTAATTTTGATTCAAAACATTAAATTAATAAATATTGTAGAAAATATGAAGTAATATTCAATAAATTATATTAAATTCAGATAATATTTTATACTAAATGAGACTGGTTTATTTACGTTATTAAGTTTGCATATATACCATAATTTGTCATGTTTTGTACCAAGTATTGTTTTAGTACTGAGCAAACCGGACTTTGATCGTACATACATCATGGATCCTGTTTAATTGTAGTTCATTAGATGTATTTAGAACGGAAGTGAATTGGAGGTGGTCGCAATCTTCCGCAAATTAGAGGGTATGAGAACTGAAATTTACTGGTGTAACAGAAGGTGTAATTGGTCAAAATTTCACTTAAAAACAACGTAAATAAATATCCGAACCTTGATGAGTTCTATACTTTATTGATTATGCACCTTCATTTAAAGACTTCGCATTTTCATTTTCACAGTGTTTTATTTGTTCGAACATTCGATAGCGTATTTGACCTTTGTAAAACGCAGCATACGGACAAAAGTTCATGGAGCGTATTATACAGGTAAAGTATAATACAGCTCGCGTTATAATAAATTGATAAGCATGTTCTATGTAAACGGCAAATTACTACTGATGCTACTATTTAGTGAATAAAGTCTTATATCATTATACATTTTATTCTTTTTTGTTTTTAATTTGTAAATATCATCTTTTCAATTATACCCAATATACAATGTTTCCGATTAAGAATGTATATATAATTACATACGATGAAATTTCTGTATGAACAATTAATACTTGTTAACATATGAAATTAAATTTTGATTTTCTTAATTAATTCAATTATGCAAATTGACGAAATTGCGCATGAAATTTTGACGCACATTGAAATAATTCTCCTTTTAAACTGTAAGAAAAACAACAGTGCGGGTTACATGGTTGATATTTCTCGAGAAACGGATAACCTTAGTCCAAATATTTAGACGTAACCGCGGATTTGAAGCTATTCTTTACACGGGTCAAATCCGCTTTAACGTCTAAAGATATCTATTTAAAAGTCCATAGCAAAATCATGCACAATCATTCAGACTTCCCATGTAAAATGTTACAAATAATCATAATCCTATCACAAATGTGTATTTTCCTTTTCAAAATTTTAAACAATTTTAAACAAATCCCGTGCAATGCGGTGATTACTGGAACCATGTTTTTTAGACGCGCACCTGTCAGCGTCTTAAAGCACAACTGAAAAAGTTTTCGTTCAGACTAATTTCGTACTATTGTTTTTTGAGTGACGTCACAGCATGACCGGGAATTTCCAATATGGGGGTCACCACAAAATGTCTTTCATGTGTCTTTTTAAATATATCGATAAATGAACTACTTATCGTGAGTAATTATTGCATATTTTTACAGTTTTTGGGAAAATATGCTTCCGTCTTTTATGCAATCAAGTTGTGATTTACCGGTAAATTCAAATCGACTCGAGAAGCATGTCGATTTGTGCTATGGGAAATTAGCCAGTTATGGAAAGACTTCGCATTTTCCGATAAACGTCAAAATGTAAAAAAAGAAAATGCGATGTCTTTCAATGAAGGACTAGGATAACCTGTGTATGTGTGCACAGCGCTGTGTTGAATACTTGATGTTGCATATAGATCTGTGTTTAGAATAACACAACATAGTCCGATATGGGCGTTAAAAGCATATAAAAGTGCAGTGTGTGATAACTAATGAATTACTTGGGATTATTTTTATTTGTAAGTAGATCATTTGGTAGGGTGTTTTTTGGCAATGTTTATCGTTGCCTTTTTATAATTAGATAACATATACATATCTGTATTGCTTCAGCGATTCTATTAATTAAGATATATTATATTATACCTACATACATGTACAGTACAGAAAATTGAAGTAAAAGTTCATAGTATAAGTACTGTAATGATATATCTAGTGCAACTGTAGTGTATCCATATATTGGATTACGTATCGGGGGCGTAGCTGTTGTTACTCATTTTGTAGCATACATTTTATATATAAAATAATAGGCACGATATTGTATGAATATTAGCTTATATCGATTGATCTTCACAGAGTTAAAACTCACTGTGTCGCTGATGAGATTATCGATAAAAGTAGCTGTGAAAGGGGAAGAAACTCTGAGATAACGCTGATCAAACTCCTCACAGTGATTACTTTCCTTGGCAGAATTTCAAAGACGTCACATGATGATGAAAGTCACATGACGTAACGTCGAAATTCAAATGTAAATATCGACCGTTACATAGAAAATCTAACGTCATTTTTCTCTTTCTGTTTTATTTTTTTAACTTTTAGTGCCTACGATCGATATAGTTTATCAAAAAATTATCAAAAGTATACAAAATAACGAAAAATAAATTCAAAAACTAAAAAATATCAAAATATTGTCTCGGTAGAAAATATTCTCATATTTTTAAAAAAATATTTCTAAATATTCATATTATTTATTTATTTATTTATTCTTAAACATTGTTAAATAAATGAGAAAAAACTTATCTGATAGATAAAAGCAGTAGATAAAACAATTTTTGAAAAAAATATAGTATATATATCGGACCTTGGTGGCAGAGATCTACGCAAACTCCTCACAGCGGTTACGTCACGCTTTGCTACTTTAACAGATCAGGGGAAGTAACCGCTGCGAGGAGTTTGAGATCTACGCCGAAGAATTAAGGGGAGATCACTGCGTGGAGATTGAACGCTGGTGTACAACGCAGAGAAAGGGAAGAAACTCCGATTACACACAGTAAAAGGAAAAAGTTGATGGTAGGAACTCCGATAACGCATTGTAAGTGATAACGCAGTGCAATGGGAAGGAACTCTGATCACAGTGCTAGGTGAAGTAACTCCGTAAACGCAGTGCAACTGGAAAATACAGACTTAACTCTAGTTCGAAATGGAAAGTAATGTTGATGAGGATTTTTTGAAACTGCAGAAGCTCTTACGTGAAAGAGGTATTACAATTATTTGCTGATGAATTAACAAAACAGATGCGTTTCTATAAATATTCTTCTTGATTTAATAAAAAATACTACAAGTAGTAAAAGTAATTAAACATTTGAACACATGGTCGCCATTTTGAGGGTCATTCACAATATTTTATATGCTTAACTTTATCATTAGGGATTATATCTTATCTTTAATCTTAAGATAAGATTAAAAAATCTCTAAAATAATTCTGTCATCTTAATGCAAATTGATAAAAACTCACATGTTTGTGCTAAAATAACGAACATCTTCATATGTATACAGAAATTTGAAAAGTTATGTAAATCAGCAGTTAATATTGATTTTATAATATTTTGTCAATTGTATTCCATAGAATATTGACCAAAATATGGCTGCCTCTTTTGACAAGGGAGGCAAATGCGGTAGAATCGCTGCGATTATCGGGAACTATATATCGAATTTAATTTATGGGTGTAAACCCATATTCTAGAAAAAAATCCCCTCTCTACCTCCACCCCTCTGCCCTTTTCCATGCATTAGTTAACCGAAGCACTTAGTTTTAGATTTTAAGAATTAGACGAATACAAAAATTGTTGTACATGTATAGTAATTCTATCTTTAAACATCCGGCGTTTGACTCATTATCTAGTAAAATGTATAATACATCTCCAGTTTTTAGGTTTACCCACCTAATTTTATGTAATGGATTCGTTCTGCTTTTATTTATGGAACTGTCCATTATCAATTTTAGGGATATCAAGAGTTAAAAGTTAGTCAGCCAACAGTATAGAACCTCGGTTCGTGCAAGTTGAGGATTAAAGTGCAACTTTTATTAGTATTTGTTCACATTCATAATTATTCTTAGCCTGCGGTACAGGATATGCGTCATTTGAATTGTTCTAAAATAATAAATCAGCTGATACGAATTCAAACAATGGCTTTACGTCACCAACACTTTGCATGTCATATGGCGGCGTTGCAGATTTGTCTCCCGTGCTTTATTTAATGCCCGTGCAGAATCTGATTAATTACCCTCCGGTCTTCCATAAGCTAGCTGAATGGTTTTCTCAAATAAAAAATCCCTTACGAGATTCGAACCCAGAGTGGTAATGGACAAGTGACTTGAAGTCAACAACTGTAGCCACCATACCAAAGAGACCTAAAATTACCCTTTTAAACTTTTTTTTTAACATGGACTATTTTCATAGGGTCGTTTTATGAAAGTTTAAGTTTCAACAGCCTCTCTTCGTGTTTTCTTCTTTTTTCGCACACTATTATACTTAACAGTATCATGAGGATTTAGCTCAATACAGGATTGGAGCAGTACCTCTAGACGCTTGCAGAAATCATGATCACAAAATAGACAAATATCGTTTTTTTCGCCGAATTTTACATTTTTCCTTGATTATCGTACTTGATTCGGTGTGAAAAGATGAATTAGACCTGTTAAAGTTCATTCCGTTGGGTAAAAAGACAAGATTTTAGCATTTTATCATTCAAGCGCCTTGTCCGGTATATACCGGAATACGGTATTTAGTGTGGTGCTCCAATCCTTTTTTTAGTCACAGCCGTATCATGAAGGGTTGAATAAAGTCTGAATACGGAATTACGGTAATTTTGAGGGATTTCGGAAAATCTGTCAAATATAGTTACATGTACTTAAATTTATCATTGTCAAAGAGTTTATAAAACTTCTATGTTTTTGAAGATACCTGTACAAGTGATGTGACGGCGCCACCACTCGAACCACCGCCTGCGTATGATAAAATAAACAGTGAAACGCATCAAGACGTTGCACCGCCATGTAAGTTTCCTTTATTTATTATTGAAGAGTTAATAAAGGCAATATGTTTTATTGCTTATGTTAATGATAGACCTGAAACGTTAATACATGCATGAGATGTAATCCTTACAACAATGTATTATATATACTAGAATTGAACAGAATAGAATATTGTATAAATTTTTACTTGTACTTATTGTATATAGAATATACCAGTAGTTTAATTTGTTGTTGTGATTTTCACGCTTCATTTCGTTCATTTCAGACTTTTATAAACCGTAAGTACAGGTTTTTCTTTTACTATGCATACGTTGTAAAATACTTGCATTTGTTTTAGTAATTGAAGGGTGTGATTTTTTCCGGATAAAAGTCATTGACTTTTGATTTTGCATTCTTACTAGGGAAGAAACTACTAGTATCCTGCTAGCATAATTTCAGTTGACTGGCGGTTCTACCCAGGTGTCCGTTCGCGCCTGAAATAATACATGGAAAGAAAGACTTAACCAGTGAAGTTACTAAGTTGTCACATGAACTTAACTGCGTCGATGTGCCTTAATATACAACCAAACAAAATGTGTAATACACTTTAAAGCTTATAAACATAAAATTTGAATTTCCTACGTAGATCAGCTGGGACACTTAGAATAGAAATATACGCGAAAGATAACTAAGAAATATACCGGTACTCAGATTAAATTGGAAATTGTATTACATGTATTGCGCTGTTATTGAATTTTGTCTTAAGCTTTTTCATCTCGGTAGAGCCCTTTTAAATAGTGATATTAATAAAACAAACATTATGACGTAATTTAAAACGTCACAAAAGGAAGAACGTCAAGACGTCACATAGTGACGGCAATCATAGAGCGGAGCTGGCAAAACACTGACGGTTGGCAACAAGCTCTTCACAGCCTAAAATGGCTGAAAAAGATAAACAAGATCTAGTAATGGTTGATATAGAATATGCAAAGATACATCCATTGGCAGAAAATGCAGACGACAATTTTAGAAAAAATATCACTGAAAGAAATGAAACAGAGAAGGAAAGACTTGAACGTATAGCGGATATGTTTTAAGCAAGACCGCTTTACAGCAAGGAGTGTATTGAATATCAACGTAAAATGAAGAGAAAAGACGAAGATTTAGATCGACATACAAGCAACTGTTTACAGTCTAAAGCTGAACGTGTCAAACAAGATCTAGATGTAATTGATATCGAATACGCCGCAATACACCCAACTGACGAAAATCTTGGCAATATCCGGTTAACGCCCCCTGGGGGCATTTGCATTTCCTTCTTTCTTTTACCTCTGTTTGTGCGCGATTGTTATTTTCATCTGTGTCATTAAGACGCTTGCATATTGTAATTAGTCACGTGATACATATATATAGAAGTTAAAATCTCAAAATAATCAAATGATGCTTAACCCCCTCCCATGAACTAAAATCGCCGCCCATGTAAAATAATACAATTTAGAAAGTTAATTATTATTTAGATAATTGGATAAAAAACCATTATGATCACATAAGGTCATACGCTTGCTGGACCAATAATATACAAAAGCTAAAATATTTCTGAATTTCGTCCACCACGAAGTTCAACATAATTATATCATGTTATGAGTAAATTGACAAGTATAAATAAGTTGTAGCGGATTTCACGTGGATGAGAAAGCACGGTTTTGTCGTGTTTTTCTTTTTTATTTCGTGGGCAACAAAAGGGATACATTATGTGAACTAATAGTACTTTTTAGGTACTGATTTAAATCTTAATTTTGTAATGGAAGCTTATTTATTTTTTGGCGTTATTTGATGGATTATGTGAAATTCATATAAAATAAACAACGATACGCATACATTTTCGTCCCGGGTAAGTTTTGTTTTAAATATAGGTTCATTCCGTAAGAAAGTATTTTCAGACATTTCCTTCAAAACAATGCCCAGTCCCATTTGGTAGAATAATTAACGGAATGAATGTTATTAAAGCTGAAAGTATGGTCAATATCGACATAATATATATTGTCAAAAGGCAAATGCCCCAGGAGAGTTTCCGACTATGATAAACTAGCGTAGGCAAACGTCCCGGGAAAGTTGCCTTTTTGTTGTAAATGTCATTCATTCCGTAATATATATATTCAGATACTTCCCCCAAACAATGCCAAGCCCATTTTTTAAGTTAATAATGGCCCCCGAAGAAAACCCTCTTCCCGGGGAGAACTTCCCCTTCAGTAGCATTTTAATATAGAATGAAATATATCCGTCGCTATATATATACTCTGGTTTTCTGCCCCGGGTGAGATAACCAGAGTATATATATAGCGAGTGATATTTATAAAGCATTACTTACATGCTACTGAAGGGGAAGTTCTCCCCGGGAAAAGGGTTTTCTTAGGGGGCTTCAATGCTTAAGAAAATGGGGCTTGGCAATCTTTTTGGGGAAGTGTCTTAATAACTTCTTTTTACGGAATGAACACATTTACCGTAGAAGGCAACTCACCCGGGAAAGATTCCTTATATGCAGATGTAATGGTAGGAATAGCACCCGGGTGATTTACCTTCTAGCATATATGTATACGTTCATTCCGTAAAATGTCATTTAGATACTTCCCCCAAAACAATGCCAAGCCCCATTTTTTAATTATAAAGGCCCCCGAAGAAAACCCTCTTCCCGGGGAGAACTTCCCCTTCAGTAGCATTTTAATATAGAATGAAATATATCTGTCACTATATATATACTCTGGTTTTCTGCCCCGGGTGAGATAACCAGAGTATATATATAGCGACTGATATTTATAAAGCATAACTTACATGCTACTGAAGGGGAAGTTCTCCCCGGGAATAGGGTTTTCTTAGGGGGCTTCAATGCTTAAGAAAATGGGGCTTGGCAATCTTTTTGGGGAAGTGTCTTAATGACTTCTTTTTACGGAATGAACACATTTACCGTAGAAGGCAACTCACCCGGGAAAGATTCCTTATATGCAGATGTAATGGTAGGAATAGCACCCGGGGGATTTACCTTCTAGCATATATGTATACGTTCATTCCGTAAGATGTCATTCAGATACTTCCCCCAAAACAATGCCAAGCCCCATTTTTAAATTATAAAGGCCCCCGAAGAAAACCCTCTTCCCGGGGAGAACTTCCCCTTCAGTAGCATTTTAATATAGAATGAATTATATCCGTCGCTATATATATACTCTGGTTTTCTGCCCCGGGTGAGATAACCAGAGTATATATAAGACAGCTACAATATTTTTGCATATATATTATACAGCATGTCACTGAAGGATAAGATTTCTCAGGGAAGAAAATTGGATTTGCAATCTTTTGGGTGAATAGTGTTAGTGAATTCAATTTACGGAATGAACATATGTTGTGTACAAAGGAAATCATTACAATCATTCATTATTAACTGGGTAAATTCACAGGTACTATTTCTCCCGTAGTGAACCCTTTTGAAATCTTGTTTTATGTGTTACTACCATATATGGATAAATAGGGTCACAATAATTTCGAGACTCTCGCGATTGCTATTGTGCATAAAGTAAAAAATGTCAAACAGAAATCGTGAAATTTACGGACGTTACTTCTGGACATTGAATTTTTAAGAATATTGATTTTTGCCTTCGTTTATGTTAACGGGTTAAATGCTGTTATATTTCTTGACTGGGTTCATTTGATAGTTTATGCACGTGACCTTCCTGCTCACAGGCATTTTAAAGCGTTATTTATACTTTTTGAAGGCAAGCGTCTACATGACCCAGATCACACCTAAACGGCAAAAGCCCCCAGGGGGCGTTAACCGGATATTGCCAAAATCTTAAGAAGGATATCGCGAAAAGGCAAGAAACAGAACAAGAAAGGCTTGAACGTATAGCAGATATGTTTTTAGCAAGACCGCTTTACAGCAAAGAGAGCATTGAATATCAACGTAAAATGAAGAGAAAAGACGAAAGTAAAGCTGAGAGTGTCAAACAAGATCTAGAATTAATTGACATAGAATACGCTGCAATACACCCAACTGACAAAAATCTTAAGGGGGATAACCCTAAAAGGCAAGAAACAGAACAAGAAAGGCTTCATAGAATAGCAGACATGTTTTTAGCCAGGCCAGCAAATGTCGGAGATAAATGTAAAGATGTCAATGTTAGAATAACGAAGAGTGACGATGAGGTGACCACTAAAAAGGCGATGAAGAAAAATAAGAAAAAGGTAAGTTTCAACAATATGTTTTCTGTCCGATCATATTAAAACTGATAAAACATGTCAATATAATTTTTATATTGCTTTGATTGTTTTAACTTTAAAGATTGAAAAAGACAATGTCGGTTATTTTTTTTATAAATGAACATTTTGCTAGCAATATTTAAGTTGCAAGTTCCCCGTCGCCTAGAACACACATAAGCATTAAGTTTAGTCCATCTTGTGAATTGATTAATTGATTGATTAATTGATTGCAAACTTAAATTTGCAAAGTGACTTGCCGAAATAAGAATACCAAAATATTTCATTTGTTTGCGGGTGAAAGAATCCAAAATATTAGAAATAAACTATAATGCATATGACATGATCAAAATACATATACAATGTTTCTTAATTTTAATATTTAATTTAATGGAAATTTCTATTCTTTTTAATTTTACAAATAACTAAAATTTGCCATTGATGTTTTCTTTTGGCAAACAGAACGCCGCCAAAGCAAGCAAGGTACAGCAGCCGATGGAAGCAATTATCGAGTGTAAAACTGCAGACGACACGAAGAAACGCGAACAACATACGGGCTGCTACGGGTTCATCAGAGCTTGGGTGGAGAAACGTTCCTTAAAGAAAAAAGAGAAAAAGCTGAAGAAGAAAGGCACAATGGATGAAAAATTTAGCGACATTATAACAAAGATTCAAAAGTCCCCAAAATTCTACGAAGCAGACGACTCGGCCAATATCCGACTTGTTATTGACGCCTGGGAGACTGGCGGCGTCAAAAGAATAGCTTTCAATTAAAAAAATTTCTGACCGACTTAAGCCCACATCAAGTAGACTTACACTATTTCGTTTTTGTTGTTGAACAGGTGATAGAAAAATGTAAGATAAACTTCATTAAATAGTCATTTGTGACAGTAAAAATATCAATGTTGGAAATATTCGAATTAGTTTCACATGCATTTGTTAGTCATGTGATACAAAATAATTATACATGTACATTCAGTAGTAACATAGCAAACACTTTAACAGATAAAATTTTGTTTTATTGTTACTATTCTTGTGTTCTTTATTTATTTACCTTTTTAGATCGTTTGTTTGGGGGAGGGATAGGGTGGTGTATGGTAAAGGTCACTTGCATTTTGTTTGCGAATTTGCAAGTAGAACACGATAGATAAAATGTACTAGTAGTGTTTGAAAACGGTGTGACCTATAGTTCAATCCCATAACGTTATGGAAAAATTAATGCCAGTTCAAACTGTACTGCCATCGGAACTTTGATTATGTCTACATATCTGACTTCTGTGGTGAGTGGATGGAGGTGGTGCAAGTCACACCGACAATGTAAAGGTCGTGGCAACTGTCAACCTTTTTTAAACTGGTTTCCCTCTGTGTATTTTTTCAAGAAGCACCGATATTCCTAGCTTGCTAGAAAGCTCTTATAAAAGAATATTACGTCCCTTACGGGGATTCAAACTAACAGCGGTGAGGAGGAAGTGACTTGGAGTCAATTACCTCAACTTATTGGTCATGGAGGGTCCTTACATGTACGTCGGTCAAAAAGCACCAGAGGTTCATTGTCATTAAATTTTTGATCAATTACATTTTAAAAGACTGTTAAGTTGGGACTTGAGATCCCCACCTCTAATTTTGATATCGTACACGGTCACGCTCACTGCAATGACTTTTTCAAAACTTCTTTACTTTTCATATTGCATTGATTCATTTTTAAAGTTGGATATATTTCATCCGAGCATTTCCGATTCATTGATGCGCGTAAGAAAGGAGTGCTCAGTATATCTGAAATCTTATACTTTTTTGCGAAAAGAAGACGATAGATGAAATGTACTAGTATTGTCTGAAAATGATATGAACTATGGTTCATTCCCCTGACGTTATGGAAAAATTAATACCTGTCCAAACTGTAGTGCCCTCGGAACTTTGATTATATCTACATATCTGACCTACCCAGTGACAATTTAAGGCCAAATGCTTGACACTCGGCAAAAAAGCTGTTCAAATTACCACAATGGGTATTAATTAGCTTAAGGCCTTCAGCGTATCATTTTTATACTGTGACAGGACGGGCTCATGCCGCATGTTACTTGTTTTGCTTCAAATTTCGGACATTCTGTTGTAAACATATACATGTGTATAATAATCCTATTATCCTTCTGATAACGGTTGTATATTATTTGTGGATTATAGGGAGGATCAAACAAATATTGATGTTCTGCCACCGGAACCAAACCCTGGGGCAGCAGACGTACTTGTGCCACCATCAGAAAAAACAGTAAGCAGTTTGATGTATATGAGCCGCGCCATGACAAAACCAACATAATGCGTTTTCGACCAGCATGGATCCAGACCAGCCTGCGCATCCGCGCAGTCTGATCAGGATCCATGCTGCTCGCTATCAGCTTCTCTACTTGTTACAGGGTTTGTAAATCCTGATCACAAAGGCTGGTCTGGATCCATGCTGGTCGCAAACGCATTATATTTGTTTTGTCATTTATGCGCGGCAAATACATATTTTTTGATATCATGTCAATAGTATTTTAAAGGCTCTTTATGTCTCAGAAATGCGTTTTACTTTTTTAAAGGTTTTTATTTTTGGTGTACTTTTATAGTTTCAATAATTTTATCCATTGCCAAATTACCTGAACCATCTTTTTCATCTGTTGCTTTTTTTTGACAATTAGTACAGTTACAGTAATTAAGTATTTTGTATGGAAGTCAAAATACTACTTTTTTTCACGTTTTCTACTTTTATGACAAGTTTATCGGTATTTCCTTCAGGTAACAAGCATCTAACATGCTCTCAAACCATTCTTTAAACGTAATAAATTCATGTTTGTCATTTCTAAAGAAGTAAATATTTATAATTTATTTATAAAGGGATATTGTGCCTTTAATGTAAAAGTTACCTTTTGATTTTACTTATTACATTATTGATTTTATTGTGTTTCCAAAACATCGAGTTTTTTTCTCTTTCAAGTACTTTAAACATACGCTTTTTTGCGCATGCGCACTCACTTATTTATTGACGTTTTCATAAAAAAGGTCGAATCAGTAGTTGATGAGAAAAAAACAGAAACAGATGAAGACCTTGATGCATTGTCGTGTATTTTAGTATGTAAGTTATTTTGTATTTTATTTCTGTTAAAGCGAAGATTAGATTATTTGTTTGATTTATTTGTTTGATTCCATATTTTAAGAAGTGGATATACGCTGTTCATAGTGATTGCACTATTTAGCAAAACTAGTATATTTTAAGAATTAGAATTCTTTTATAACACAAGCTGCTTTCAAGTATATTTATACTCTTAAAGGCCCATTAAGCTTCAAGAAATATTTAAAGATTTATTTTTCAAAAGGTTTTTGTCTTTAGTGTCATGTTGTAGTTTCCAAAAAAGTTACTCATTATCTAATTATCTGAACCATCTTTTGCTTCTGTTGTCTTTTATAATTAGTACAGTAATTTGTCTGGCAGCCAAAATACTACTATGATTACATTTTGCTACTTTTATGAAGAATACTTTCACATTCAATGCTATTTTTTCCCAGATGATAAGCATATAGCATGTTCTTAAACCATTATTTATTCGTTACATAAGTCACGTTTTACCTTTCTGAAGAATGAAATATTTATTCGTTTCTGGGCATAATGTGCCTTTAACTGTTCAAAATCTCGATTATAATACGAATGATGACTTCTTTGTTTCAATGTTTAAGCCTTTATGTCAGTGCTTATACCTCTCGAGCCCTCTATTTAGAAATAACCACTATCCAACAACATTATAGATATGTTAAAGCGGCCTTAAGCTTTTCTGAAGATTAAATATGTTACTTTCAGATAAGTCGTTTTATCAAATGAATTCAGGTGGAAAATGAAATTTGCCCTCGATAAAAACATAAACAGTAAGGACCCCCCAAACCAGTCCTAAGAAGTCCTAACAATGATATGATACACTTTTCCATGATAAAAATACTGAAATACTTAGCTTGAAACAACTCTGACGTGTTTTCCAACAGAAAATAAAAACTGAAGGCCGCTTTAATTTCAAAAGTAAGGCTTCACACTAAATGTGACCTCTCTTTAGCAATAACTGAACTATTCGTTACGAAAGACCGGTGGGAACATTTCAATTTATGAATTCCCGATTTCATCTCCATGAATCTCCGTTTTGAAGTTGAAATTGTGAATTTATGTGGTTGAAATCGTGAATTAACGAAGTGGAAATCTTGAAGTTGAAATCGTGAATTTGTGAAGTTAAAATTCGTGAAGTTGAAATCGTGAATCGTGAAGCTGAAATCGTAAATTTGTGAATTCTGCATGTTGAAAACGTCTGTTCACGAAGTTGAAATTGTGAATTCATAAAGACATGAAAGATGAAATCGGGAATTCATGAAGTTGAAATAACACTTCCGATCTTTCGTAATTTGTCCCCCAAGGGTATTGCTTTGCAGAGGTTGAAGAGTATCATATTATATTGTAGATTTCTTTTTTTTACAGCATTATTTTGCCTGATGTGGGTAGCAATTGCCGGACTAAGCATAGCTAAAATTGCCATGGGTATAAATATCATTTTAAACTAAGATATAATTAAGCTATAAAAAGTAGTGTATTTAATATTCAACGTTATTTTTTATCAAGTTCGACCGATAATTTAAAAACTGGTGATTTTGTTTTAGATAATTAATTCAGTATTGAGTTATCGTATTGCTATATAATTTATTGAACTTTTGGATATTTACATGATTTTTTTTGTTTGATTGGGGTTTTCGATGCACGAACACTGTGAAGGTCAAACGGTGACGTTTCAGCACTACTGGTGACGGAAGACCTCAGGAGCCCCTCTGTGCATTATTTCAGGGAAGTAGAAAAAGCACTGACGTTCGGTAAGCTAGCTGAATAGCTTCCTCACACTAAAAAATCGAAAGTCCTTTGCGGGCTTCGAACCCAGATTGGCGAGAGGCAAGTGCTTTAAAGCCGACGACCTTAACCACTTGACCTTTGGAGTAATTTTTTAAGTGAAATTGTATCCTTCCGCAGAATAACTGAAGGTAAAACACAAGTAATATTTGTTTGTCATTGTCATCATCTTATTATTGGAAGAGTTGTGTCCCTTCTTGAGTAAATTGTGAAATTATTGCTTTCCACGAAATAAAAGGATTTCATTTCACTGAATGTGTTTATATTTGGCATGCAAGTATGTATGTATGCCAAAACACTGATCAAATTTAAAAAAAAATTCTGCAATCAACAAATTGCAAAGTTGATTTAACTGATTTCTTTTAAAATCAAGTCAAAACATTCAATTATATTATATGATAACTTGTTACCTAGAAAACAGCATAACAGGTATTTTTCTTTTACATTTGATAGAAAAGTCAAAATATGAGCCATTTACAACAATAAATTTGCTTTCGTTCTGTAAGGCACATTGTTGTCCATCATACCTTCTTGTACATTTGTCATCGGGCGAATATTGTTACTACGGTGTTCCGTTCGGGCCAGCGCGTTTTCTTTGAGAACGGAATGCGCCAAAAATGACAGTACGATAGTGACAGTACGATGGTGACATTATGACAGTACGATGGAGAAACACGACAGAACGATGGTAACAGTACTGTCGTATTGTCACCATCGTACTTTCGCCTTCCTGTCGACGGATTGTATTGTTGTGCTTCGCCATCGTACTGTCGTAGTCACCATCGTACTGTCGCACTGTCACCATCGTACTGTCCTGTTCCGCGAGAAAACGCGCTGGTCGTAACGGAACACCGTTTGCTACGCTTCGGCGGAACTCTTGTTATTTTATCGATATCATTTTTATCTATTCAATCAGGATCGTCATATCTACACGACTGTGATATCCGATTTATGATCCCAATTTACCTCATTGTGAGCGGGCTTGCACCGCTATATTTCACAAAACTTATCTGCGGAGGTGATGATAGCAGTGACTGCTCTTTATGGCAGATATGCTGGTCAATCGTTGGATTCTTATTTTGTCTTGCCTGGCTTATATGCGGTATGAATTATTTTCTTTCTGATCATTTGTATAGTGACCATGCCACGCGGAAATCTCCCGAACATATTGCTTGGATAATGGCTTTGGGCCTTATGTTGTGTGAGGAGGACCCTCCAAATTAGTACAAAATCGACTATGTAAAGAAGTCAGACAAATGCTGTTTAAACAGTTGGCTCGAGAAAATTTTGTTTTTTTTTACGAAAATTTAGTTTTTCTTGTTTTTGTTTTTTGGCAACATATTGTTCTTATTGTGAGTGTGTGAATGATAAATGCGCCAAAGAGTGTGATTTAACTATTATTATTACAGATAATAATAATTAAATGATAATATTAGACTGATTTAATAACCATAACAGATTCAGTATTGGAATAGCTTAACTTTTATTATTGGTATGGTATGGACATAATTTAATCGGTATTAAAATAGGTTCAGTATGGGAAATTAGGCTCGGTATGGGAAAAAAGGTTCGGTATGGGAAAATAGGTTCGGTATGGGAAAATAGGTGCGGAATAGGTGCGGTATCGGAATAGTTTAACTATTTCTTTAGGCATGGCGTGGAAACAGTTAAACAATTACTATTATTATATTGTTTATCTATTATATGTTTTTATCATTATCGTTATCATCCTTTACCCATCAGTTATATTGTTAGACTATTATAATATCTACCTTACTTAAATTGTATTGTTTAACTATTATTATAGGTTCGGTATGGGTCTACCTTACTTTCATTGTATTATTTAACTATTATTATAGGTTCGGTATGGGTCTACCTAACTTATTTTGTATTGTTTAACTACAATGTATTATTATAGGTTCGGTATGGGACTCTACCTTACTTATGTTGTATTGTTTAACTATTATTATATGTTAGGTATGGGTCTACCTTATTTTAATTGTATTGTTTAACTATTATTATAGGTTTGGTATAGCTCTACCTTACTTATTTTGTATGGTTAAACTATTATTATAAGTTCGGTATTTGTCTTCCTTACTGAAACTGTATTGTTTAACTATAGTTATAGGTTTGGTATGGATCTACCTTACTTTAATTGTATTGTTTAATTATTATTATAGGTTCGATATGGGTCTACCCGATTTAAATTGTTTTTCCTAAATATTTTATAGGTTCGGTATGGGTGTACCCTACTTATAGCACTGTGATGGCAGAAGACTTCAGACCGTGTACCGCAACAATAACAGAAAATTGTTCTTATGGAACTTGTGACACAGTTATTATCAAATTTGCATTTGCCATGGTCACGCTTGATTGGATTTTTCTGGTGCTAATGATAGTACTTTTTATTTGGGTAGTGATTAGAGATAAAAGTGATAAAAATTGAAAACATTCGCATTTTGGCTTTCTTATGAAAGCAATGTATGAAGACAAAAGGAAACGCTTTGGTGAAATTTGAGTTTAAAGGCTTATATGGTACAGTTTCAGAAAGAAATAATTTATAAGAAGAATGGAAAATGTGTAATACAAGTTTGTTTTTTAAACATTTGAATTTCGAGTTATCTGCCCTTGAATTTGAAAGTTTCCTTAATATCTGAACGACAGGTAATTTACAGTTAGTCGAAAGATGATCAATTTGTTTTTCATGTACATGTAGCTGACTTCCTTTCGTGTGATTTAAAATTCTATTAAAGACCTGCTTTCGGGTAACTTTTTATCTGTTAAAGTGAATGGCCTATAATGAAATGTCTGTAATACAATAAAAAATACGTTAATAGTTTTTAGTAATATAAATAGCAACAAACAACGTAAAATTATTCATAAATGTTATTGACGAGAGTGAGATACATAACCCAATATGACATAATTATATCTATATAGCAATTAATAAAATGTTTTAGAACAAAATATTAATATTCATCATAAAAATTTTCATACGAAACTACTAAGACCTTTGTCAATCTTTTTTTTTCAAAATTTTGTCTACCTTTATTTTCAAATCATTGTTCATAAGAATATCAAAATCATACATTTCTATTGTTTTTATTAGTATTTGAAATAATTTTGGAAAATATGCCCATTGTAGACCAATCCACTTTAAACCTAAGCCAATTTTCTTTAAAAATGATATATTTTTCATGAATTGTTAGTCCCTTGAAACTGAGAAAATGTAACAAAAATGTTGAATGGAACTTCACGAAATTTTGTATTATGACAATGGATAAAGTAAAAAAAAGTAACCATTAGAAAAAGTAAGGTATTTAAAACCGTTATGTAAGTTACCTTCTTTTGACATAACTGAATTTTCAAATTCAAGGGCAGATAAGTTATCAAGAAGGTAACTCAAGGTCAAGCTCGATAAGTTTTCGTACGATAGCCTTCCTTTCTTCGCGTTATCACATTCTAAGATCATGCAAATTCTGTCGTGCACTTTTCATTCTGCCTAAATGTCTAAATCAAGTATAGCCTTAAAGTTTCAAGTACCGTTGTCCTATTGTTGTTTTTGGCTTGTATGGACCGCGGCAACAGCGTCGACATAGGCGATATATCGACATAGGCGGTATATCGATATACACGATTTCGTTATAAGAGGAATTTACTGTAGATGTATTATCTTGCATTTATTGAAATATTATACATGTAACTTTGGAAATATTGATCACTTTACTCATGTGACTAGTGTACGGGCAGAGAAAGTGAGCATTGTTGATATTTCAGCTGAGTGAATGCCTGTACAGAATTAAGCATATCATAATTATGTCAAATACCTGTATGAAATTGATACATGAAATATGCCTTACATTTTTACCTTTTGCTTAAATAAATAATTTGAAAATTCTAAATTTGCTGTTGTACAATTTTTTCGTATATTTTCTTATTTTGTATGATGTAAATTTTGTATGATGTAAATGATGATGTAAAATGTCGAGGCTGTAAAATAAAACAAACGTCTTATCATTTTATCTTTACATATTTGTCAGTGATGATATCTGAATGTTTTTGCTATACATGTACATTTTTTGTTATTATTAAAGTTAATGTTTTGTATAGAAATCTGTATTTTGTATCTTATTGTATCTTAAATTAGCTCCCTTGATGTCATACGTCCCTTGAGTCCGAAATAGTATGTGTCGTCTGCAATTCCAAAAATGTTTACAATATAGAAATCACTCTTGAAACAATGAATAAAAAAAATAACTATCTATTTCACAATGTTTATCAACCTTCGATGGTTCAAGGGGCTAAACCTCTCTTTATCAAGGAGTTTGCTGTCTATTTTCTAAATCACATATTAATCCTCTTTCTTTCTTATACTATGATTACCTGTATTGATTTGTACATTACAAGGTGAAAGAAAAAATCTGATTTATATGTGATTTGGAAAGTAAAAAGCAAACTCCTTGATAAAGAGGGGTTTAACCTCTCGAAACGTTGGAGGTTGATTAACCCATCACTGAAAAGACTGCTCATCAGAAAGGAGGTTCTGCATTAGGCGTCTATTACATACAAACACTAACAGTATTATGATCATAGAAAATATGTATGTATTAGCTCTTGAATAATGAAGATATTACACAATTAAGATTAAAAGTAAAACAATAATATCAAATACCAATATGTTACTAATTATCACCAGGTTTTGCAAGTTCCAAAGCGTCAAACAGCTCTTTACAGCCACGCTCATTGTCCAGAGAACAGTTTCACATTTTCCAGGTAGTCACCACCAGTTGCAATACATTTGCGGTATACCAAGTAGAAAGTATTAATTTGATTGAGCCCCTTTAACCCTTTCGCTGCCAGAGGATTATTGTTTTATTGTTCAACTATTTGCCAGAGGATTTTCTAAGAAATTACCATATTATTAAATAATATAATTATTATTATTTGTTATTAGTATTATAATAATTATATATGTTTCCAAAATTGTTAGTATAATAATAATTATTGTCGATGGTATAATTTTCTTAATATTTATTATTATTTTTATAACTGTTATTATTAATTTATTATTATTAGTATTATTATTATAGAAACGGCTAAAGCCGTCCATATGGCAAATACGCCGAAAATAACAGGGACGGCTTAAGCCGTCCCTATGGCAGTGAAAGGGTTAAGGGGTCTCTAGGGTTAAAAGTAGAAAATCATTTAGACATCTTCTTCTACAGAACAATTTGATGGATGACCACCAAACTTTGTCTGTAGCATTCTTGGGTAATCTTTTGATAAGTTTGGTCATATTAATTTGATTGAGCCCCTTTCAGGGGCCGCTAAAGCTAAAAATAGAAAAACCTTTAAAAGTCTAATTCTACAGAACTAATTGATGGATGATCACCAAACTTTGTCTGTAGCATTCTTGGGTAGTCTTTTATTAAGTTTGCTCATATAAATTTGATTGGCCTCTTTTAGGGGCCGCTAAAGCTAAAAATATAAAAATACCTTTAAACGTCTGTTTCTACAGAACTATTTGATGGATGATCACCAAACTTAGTCTGTAGCATTCTTTTGTAGTCTGTTATCAAGTTTGCTCATATTAATTTGATTAGCCATTTTAGGGGTCAGTAGATCTTAAAATAGAAAAACCTTTAGACATCTTCTTCTACAGAACTAATTGATGAATGATCACCAAACTTTGTCTGTAGCATTCTTGGATAGTCTTATATCAATTTGATTAGCCCCTTTGATCAATTTGATTAGCCCCTTGAGTGGCCGCTAAAGCTAAAAATGGAAATACCTTTAAACGTCTATTTCTAGAGAACTTAGCATTGTCTGTAGCATTCTTGGGTAGTCTTTTATCAAGTTTGCTCATATTAATTTGATTGGCCACTTGCAGGGGCCGTTAAAGCTAAGAATAGAAATACGTTTAAACATCTTCTTCTACAGAACTAATGTATGGTTGATCACAAAACTTTGTCTGTAGCATTCTTAGGTAGTCTTTTATCACGTTTTTCTCATATTAAGCTAAAAATGGAAATACCTTTAAACGTCTATTTCTAGAGAACTTAGCATTGTCTGTAGCATTCTTTGGTAGTCTTTTATCAAGTTTGCTCATATTAATTTGATTGGCCACTTGCAGGGGCCGTTAAAGCTAAGAATAGAAATACGTTTAAACATCTTCTTCTACAGAACTAATGTATGGTTGATCACAAAACTTTGTCTGTAGCATTCTTAGGTAGTCTTTTATCACGTTTTTCTCATATTAATTTGATTGGCAACTTTTAGGGGCCGCTAAAGATAGAAATACTTTTTAACATCTTCTTCTACAGAACTAATTGATTGATGATCACAAAACTTTGTCTGTGGCATTCTTAGGTAGTCTTTTGTCACGTTTTTCTCATATTAATTTGATTGACCCCGTTTAAGCTAAAGCTTAAATGCCTTGGGTCATGGCATTTCTTTGTTTAAACATGTTCTATGCTCAAATTTAATATAAAAATATTGAAAATGGATAATTTCCAACACTGAAAAGTAGTTGTTTCTGATGAGCGACTCGGGGCCATCACGGCCCTCTTGTTTGGCTTTCTTTTGGGATTCAGTTTTAATGCGCCCGAATATATAAGGCGTATAATGTTATGCACCTGGTCGTCTGACTGTCCATCTGTTGACAGTTTTCGTGTCCGGTCAGTGTCTTTTGAACTGGTGGAAGGAAATTGAACTACTTGGCAGAAATGTAAACCAAAAAAGCGACTATGTGCAGAAGGCAGGTTTGACCTTTCTCAGGTCAGTCACACTAAGTCATTCTGTGTCAATTTCAAAATTTTGTGTCTGCTCTGTATCATTTTAATCGATAGAAAGATATATATTTTGGGCAGAAATATTATTATTAATGAGACGGTGTGCGGCTTTTAAAGATCAAATTGGCTTTATTTATAGTATAATTCTTTTTTTTACTAGCTGAAGGAAATTAAAACTACTTGGCAGGAATGGTCGGTTAAACAATATTGAGAATATGTGCAGAGCTCTCAGAACAAGGTCAAGGTCACACTTTGTCGTTTTGTATTTATTTCACATTTTTGTGTTCGCTCTGTATCTTTTGAACCAATATCAAGAAATTAAAACATTTTGGCAGAAATATTACTTCTAATGAGACTGTGTGCAGAACACAGGGTTGGGGCTTCCTGAGATCAAAATTGGCCCTGCCTCGGTGATCATTAAGTTAATATTATATTCGCTTTTGCTTTGTGCACAGTTATTAGAGAACGTTGCCATATTAAAGGTTTGAAAAGATTCAAGGTTACAATCAAATATTTCACCCTCCAATATCAATGGAAGGTCAACTTAATTTAAAGTTAAAATCACAAACTTTTTGGTATTTTCGTTGATTTAAGGTGGTCTATACACATTTAATACACGAGGAAACAAAGACTGGACACGAATATTTAATATAGCCATGTTCTCTGACAACCGAAAATAAGTATATGTAACAAGTTCAACCCGACGCAGCAAGGATAGTGACTGGTACTACAAAACTTGTTTCTATTGAAATAAAAACTCTTATCTAATGTTGGTCGAGAAACACTTCAGCAGAAAGGAACACAATTTTATACTGTTTTACAAGATAAAAAATAGTCTAACATCCTCTTATCTCCAAATCCTTGAACCATCAAATGAAGGAAGGGACAACAGATATTCCTTAAGGAACGCGGCTGGGCAGGCATAGGGGTCAAAGTTCAGATAAAAATATGAAAATGTGTATTCGGACCATTTAGTAATCATTTATTGAGGGATAGAAACACAAATGGTCATACTCATAACTACAGATGTGAAACATGTAATATAGATTAATTTATGCAAGGTCAAGGTCACTAAAGATGATAAAATATAGAAATTTTGTCCAGAGCATATCTCCTTCACGCATGATGGAATTCTAATGAAACTTCATAGGGTCATCCCTATTAGAAGCAGTGTCACGTGCATAAACCAATCTAGATTAAAATGTAATGTCACAGTTAGAGTTCATTGAAAAATGCTTGTACGGAGCCGAACTTCTACACTCATCGGGGGGGGGGTGGGGGGGAGTTAATGTAACTTGGAACAGATGTTCACCATTGTGAGGCCTATTGCGCACATAATCCAGGTCCCTACTTCCAAAGTCAAGGGCACATAGAGAGGTCAACGTTTGTGTCCGGGGATCATTTAGTCATCATTTATTGATGGATTGTAACACAAATGATAACTTTCATTACTACAAGCGTGACACATGTTATTTAGGTTATTATTTGCAAGGTCAATGTCACTAGAGATGATAAAAAATCCAAGTATTTTGCGGAAATTGCCCAGAACATATCTCCTATTTGCATATCTATAATGCCCACATCTCTGTCAAAAGCTTTTGTGACGGACGTATTTTGCCACAATGTTGCCCTTGTCAGTAAAATTATCATGTTTTGTAATATTTAAAGTATATTAAGCTATATATCTGATGCAAATTTTAAAAAAAGTTTACTTCCAAAATGCTTGTATGAAATAAATATGGTAATTTATTGCCTTAAAAGCGAATGGTGCATGCACAAAATCATTGCTAAACGGATAAAATACCACTAAAGATAGCAAAATATTTTGTTCCGGAATTTTTTTTTCTGTTTACGTACATTATTCATGTGAATAAAATAACAGAGACATTCTATGTAACAACTTTTTCGGGAATCAACCATCTGATAATGGAACCAATATATTTTACTGTTGATAAATTTTATTTAACTATTTCATAAGATATAGATTTAAACCCTTTAAATAAAATGTCATGATTTTTTTTAAGGAAGAGGGCATTTACAAATTACGAATAAACAGGATCAAGCGTTTAATGAACGCAACACCCACACGACCCAGCAAGACATGACTACTGGCAATGAGCTAGCAGGACCCCAACCAAAACAGGACAGGGCAGACCGTTTGATTACTTTAATAATACAAGTACTGGTACTATACGTTTTCATAGCTTCCTCTCTTCATCTACTGTTTTCATGCTATGTAAAGTTTATTAATAAAACTTTTTTAAGCTAACCAGTTGAAGTATTTGTTATAATAGTCATGTTTGAGATATTTTTACTCTAAGTCAACATAAACAGAAATTATTGTTATTTCATTTCATTACAGAAATCCTGTTAGTATGCTGGCTGATTTGTGCCATTCGTGTTTTCGCCCGTCAACCCCGCCAAGCGAAAAGTCGAGAATTTACAAGTTAAAATGGCGGGAGCGCGGAGCGAAAACACGCTTATTAGCGGAAGCGCGGGGCAAAGTTTAATAAATAAAAGTTCGCCCCACGGGGGCGCGGAGCGAAATTTAAGATGTAAAACGGCGGGGGCGCGGGACGAAATTGAATAAAATAAAACTTCGCCCCGCGTCCCCGCTAATTAGCGTGTTTCGCCCTTCGACCCCGCCAAGCGAAAAGTCGAGAATTGACAAGTTAAAATGGGGGGGGGGGCGCGGGGCAAAAACACGCTAATTTGCGGAGGCGCGGGGTGAAGTTTTATAAATAAGTTATAAATAAAACTTCGCCCCGCGGGATGCGGAGCGAAATTAAAGAAATAAAACCGCAGGGGAGCGGGGCGAAGTTTTATTTTATTAAACTTCGCCCGCGCTTCCGCTAATTAACACAAATTGCACAAATCAGCCACCATATGTTAGTGTAAACCTTTTAAACAATAATAACTTTTAATTTGAACAAGGAGGATGTGAAAGCTAATTGGTCATATGTTTACAGTGTATACTTATAGACCCCTTCATTTAAGCAAAAAATTTCTAGGAAGAGCTACTTCCCTTACCGGATATGAAGTTAATGGGGGAATTGTACTATACAAACCGCGTAGAAGGTTAGCTTATATTGACAGTTAAATGCGTAAATATTGATTATAACATGAAAAATTTGACTTATGCATACATAAATTTCATATCAAGGAAAACGTATAAAAAAATACAAAAATAAAGATTAAGATTAATTCTTGCTACGGAGTAAAACAGCGAAATTTCAAAGTGAATATATTTCTTAGATTTTCTCTAATGCAAGAGCAAAAAGCTAGTTACTAAATCAAACTTCAATATTTAATAAACACCCATACACAGTGAAATTGCTTATGTTAGATTTATATAGTCATTTTTTTTAGTTTTCTGTGTGATTTTCTGTCGTTTAGAAAATTCCGGAGTTTTGTGACAAACATAAAAATAAGAATAATGATTGTATTTCAAGTTTTAGAACAATAGCAAAATGTATTATGTCAACACTTATTGGTTCTTTTTCATTATGCCATGTAAAAAAAATCTTTCAAAGAACCAGTAAAGGATATAATTTTATAAGTATTCCTGAAAGAAGGAAAACCATGTGGCAATGACTTTTATAACGTAGGACTCGCAACAGACGATAATAAGATAATTTTGATATTACAAATCTATTCTTATGTATATGAAAATTAAGACCTTTTCCCAGTATCTTATATTATAAATATAAAAGCGCCACTGAGCCGTGCCATAGTAATCAACAGGTGTATATGTTGTATATACAAGTGATATAATACATATTTTAGATTTATAACATTACATCAGATTACGTCACTTTTGTTAGTATGATCCGACTTTGGTTATGGAACATCCTAGGGACTTTATTGATTACGCCTTACGATTTGATACTCGATCCAGAATGACTCCCAACTGGCACAGTCAAAAATACGTAAAATCATAATTCAGTTAATAACGAATTTCTATGTAAGCGTTTCACAACTTTTTTTTTATATCAATTTTTTAAAAAAATATTTGATAAGCAGAATATGAATTAAACAAAAATATCAAGTTGAAAATATCACTTTACCTGCTTTAATATAATATATAGTACATTCAATTGGTGTGATGCACGATTTTTTTTTATAGTGCCGTTTTTACTGACAGCATGCAGATGTGTGAAGTTGGCGGCCCAGCGGTGTGAAGTTGGCTGCCGGTAGCCCAGCGGCAAGCGGTGTGAAGTTGGTGGCCGGGCGGCCAAGCGGCTGGCGGTGTGAAGTTAGCGGCCGGGCGGCCCAGCGGCTGGCGGCAAAAAATTTTAATGTTGCAGAAATGTTATTTGAAACAATAAAACGGCATTTAATGAAGTTCTAAAGACATTTCTTATTATTTAAAGGATATATAAAAAGAAAAAAATCACTTTGAGAATTTTTTTTATTTTATCATTTTTTGTGAAGTCAGCGGCCAGCGGCCAAAAAATTTAATGTTGCAGAAATGTTATTCAAACAATAAAACGGCATTTAATGAAGTTCTAAAGACATTTCTTAGTATTTAAAGGATATATAAAAAGAAAAAAATCACTTTGAGAATTTTTTTATTGAATTATTTTTTGTGAAGTCAGCGGCCAGCCTCCAGCGGCCAAAATTTTTAATGTTGCAGAAATGTTATTCAAACAATAAAACGGCATTTAATGAAGTTCTAAAGACATTTCTTATTTCTAAAGGATATATAAAAAGATAAAATCACTTTCATTGAGAATTTTGTTTATTCTATCATTTTTTGTGAAGTCGATCGTTCTAAAACTTAACCGTTGAGAGAGGTAACGACTGAGGCAGTGTCACTCACTTCATTTGCCCGCCTCTGTTGAAGTTCGGCTACGCCTTAAATTGTTGCCAAATTTAATATGATGCTCCGTTTGCTAGCATTTATTCTTCGTTGACGGGACGGAAGGGAACCAGGACAACTTTGATCAATATCACTTGTCGAATCATTAATTTACAATTTACAAAGCCTAATCCACACCCACTAACAGAGAGGCGGTTCTCCCTCAACAGTTCAGAAAGTACGCCAAACGCTACGGCCAGTAAGGGAAGATCAATGTAGAACAGTTCGTCCTCAAAATCATTCGAACATTATGCTATTCGTACCAATATTTAAATGGACATATTCTCGGCGCATATTGTCTTGAATTAATTTTAAGTATACCAATCATTTCAATTTTACTTGTTATCCAATTTATTTTGCTCCGACCAGTCGTTTCAATTTTTGTCGCAACACACAAACAATTCATAATTTCAGACATGGCATTAATTACTTTGTGAATTTATGCATTAGGTTCTACTTTTTCACAAAAATATGCAACTTTATTATTAAACAACGAGCACATACCAAGAATAAGGAGAAAAAAATGATATGTGCTTCAGATATTCAACTGTAATAGAGAACGAATATCAATGCTGCTTGACTATTCACATCATTTGGCGGCGTCTTTGATGTGCAGCATCAACATTTAACTTGTTAATGTACTTAATTGTATCGGCAATCCCCCAAAGATGTCATCCAAGGGTGACAACTTGAATCCGGTTTTAAATGAAAGGGTCTTAGCACTTAGCATTCAAGTGGACTGGACAATGTCTTCATATCCACGAATGAATCACTTATACATGTACCGGGTTTGTTGAAGTGAATCATTTATACATGTACCGGTTTTGTTGTGTTGCCTGTTCGGATGAAAAATGTCAAGCAATCTCCGTTGAACCAACGTTGTAGTCGATCATCTGCAATTTAAGCATACAAAGTAAAAATTACTTGAACATGATAATGTAAAATCTACTATAGAAAACAAATACAGCGGAATTATGAACTTTCATTTTCACAACAATATATATTCTTCGATGTAATGTGGCGTAAACCCCACTATTTCATGGCACATACAGTTTATTGATTTAACAATTTCTTCCTTTTATTATCATTGAATCAAATATAAATAAACTGATTCAAGGCTAAGAATGTCAATTATCAGGCAACATTTTGTTTGTTACCTTCGTGACCAAGCTTCTTCATGACAGGGAGCCAAAAATATAACATTTTAAAAACTGATGTATATTTTTCTCCTAAGCTTTATTTGTTAATACTCGTAAATAAATAGTTTAATTTCTAGATAACGAGCGTTTAAAGCGCTCAAAAAGTGATTTGTTAAATGCAAATTAAAGCATTCAGGTTGGCTTAATTCGATGGAAGATTTATGTGGTGTGTCAATGCCTTTATCCATTCGTTTACTCAAAATAATACAAACACTGCAATCACATTGTTGAAGGCCGAGAGATTTAGAAAAATGGCTACTTATCAGTTACTTCTTGTCCGAAAATCAAGACAAATCAGAACAAATATTTATTTTTTAATGTTTCCTTAAATGTTTATCTTCGAAATTTTGCAAATATTAGTAATTACGAGTAAGTATTTTATTTCAACAAAACGTTAGTTTATTCTTATGAAGTCAAATATTTAACCAATAATTAAAAACGATGAAACCATCCTCTTCATGGCTGGAGTTTAAAACGCAAAGTAATGGATATAAGTGATCTTGCAGTGTCTGAAAAAATGATTTGATGCCAGTTCTTTATTTACAATTTTAGGAGTGTACGTTTCAAACCTATCTGTTGTCAAACATACGATCTTCTCTGTAAATGTATCTTTCTTAACACCTTCATTTCATAGGTCAAGATGTTTGTTGAAAATGAAGTGTTTTGTTTATTTGTTTTTTTCTTGGAAGACGCATTTACGTAATTTTTTGTTTTAAGTGTGTACTTGACGAATGGGATAAGCGTATTTGTAAATATGTCTTGACAATAGTGAACGGTTCTATAGGGGGAATATGCGCTTTATAAAATGAAAAATATAATGATAACATTTAAACTTTTAACAAAAATTGAAAAATGAGCCATGCATATACATGTGAACCCCGTCAGGAACCTCAAAGGCATCCTTTACAATATCTGCGTTCCTTGAAAATTGAGACAGATAAAATATATATTTAACTGTACAAGTAAGTTCTTTCAATATTGTCCGGCCTGAATTTGGATTCGTTTTAATAATTACGGAATAACGGATCATTTTCAAAAATTATTGTATTTTGAACTAATTTTTTGAGCGAATCGTGAAATATGGTGACAAAAATCATATCAGTGTGTTTGTTCGGTTTCATGTTTTTTAACATCGTGCATGTCTCCGAAATGTTACTGTTAGGAACAAGTCGCAAGTCTGGTTTTTATAAAGCAGCTGTCTTTGAGCACGCTGTTATATTCCCAGAAAAGAGAGCAAGTTCATACGATGAAGCAGTTTCACAAATGTTTCCGAATCTTGACGAATATAAAAGACAGGCAGATATAGCAGGGACACTCGTATGTATTTTAATATATTGACAGGCATTTGTACATGATACATTATATTAACTAATTTTTTTAAATCAAATAGACGGTCTACCAATAAGCTCTTTTTATTTCATATCAGATAATGATATGAATTTTTTTTAAAGCTTATCGATGATCAAAAGATAAGCATTAATTATTTTATACCATTTGAGTTAACAATTAGCTGTGTCCTTTCTTTTCTACCGCCAATTGTTATTGTTTGAGTCAAAGTGAAACATCAGATTTTATTAGGTTTATAAATTCTTTTTTCACTAAGATGCTATCAGAGTTGAATGAAGCTAAAATTCCTTAAAAGCGTGGGACTGAATCGTTTATTGCCTTTCATTATGCCCGCGTGGCTTATCAAATTGAAGCGACATGAAAATAAGTTTTAAAGTAATTATGAACTTAAAGATTTAAAACTTTTAGAACAAATATAAGAAAAACGAAACAAACAAATAAAAAAGAATTTAAGTAAAAATATATTTTTTCGCAAGCGACACCGGATGAATTAAATATAATGGCCGCAAAATATATTTAGATTCAATTAAATTATATTGAAAGATTTGAGTTACTTTATTTTTCAATTGATTCCAATAAACGCTAGCTTTTTGTAATTTCATTGTGATATGTAGCTATTTTTTATATTTTTTGTGATGTTTATGATTTATGACTTCATAGAGAGGACACTTCTGCGTTAATAAGTAGTAAAATTTCAGTCTTTCAAAGATTTAGATACGATAAAAGGATATATGTTTTGTTTGTGTATGGCTATTCTCATACTTTGCGAAAGAAACAATCAAATAATATAAAAAAACCGGTGTCACAGTAAGGGCATTAACACACCTTTGTGAAAAGTGTCATCCTCTCAAGTTCTTCCCCTTGTCTTATTTTTTTTTTTTTGGGGGGGGGGAGGGGGGGGGATTTTTCATGCATATATCCACATTAAAAAGAATCAATAAAAAATTCCATCCAAGTATGTGCCGTTCCCGTATGGTGCAGTGTTGCAGCTATATACAATTTCACACATAATTCATCCGAGTGATATTTTATTTTTTGATTTTGAGGTAGTTGATTTCAAAACTAAATTATGTTGCAGAATGAATGTCACCAACGCCAATCCTTGGAACCTTACATATTCCATAGTCTTCTAATGGGAACACTCAATAAAACCGTGTCTTATTGTCCAGAGGGACCACACAAAATCATTGGAAACTGTGCGCCATTGTTTAAAATTTTTGTGAAAGCTATTTTTTCTTTCTTGAATTTTAAGGCATTTAAAGTTATAAATTAACCATTTTATAATTGAAACAAACTAATTGTTATTTAAAACATATAATTTGATACAATTCAGGAAGATAACGTCATTATGTATGTTACATAGTCATAGCAATGATGCAGCGTTGTGTTGTATAAAATAAAAAATGATTTCTTTCTTCATCTAAATAGTTACTTATTATCTCTTTTTCTAGGGCGCTGATATTATCGTATTTCCGGAAGATGGAATTTATGGATATCTATTTGCAACACCTTCCGACATTGAAAACTATCTGGAGTACATTCCAGACCCTGCTCAAGTGGACTGGACGCCATGTACTGAACATTTGAGGTACGAAAGAACAAAGATACAAACATTTCTAAGCTGCCTCGCTAAGAATAACTCGATTTACTTAGTGGCTAACTACGGTGATAAGCAACCGTGCCAAAAGACCGACCCCAGTTGCCCTAAGAATGGACACTTTCAGTACAATACAAACATAGTGTTTGACAGAAATGGAAAACTCATAGCTAGATATCACAAGCAGAACTTGTACTTCGAGACACAATTCAATACACCTACTACTCCAGAATTCATTTACTTTGACACTGAATTTGGACGTTTTGGAACTTTTACCTGCTTTGACATTTTGTTTCATGATCCAGCGATCCCTTTGATAGAAAAATACAACGTAACGGACATTGTGTTTCCAACTGCATGGATGGACGCACTGCCTTTCTTTTCCGCAATTGGTTATCACTCCTCGTTTGCTCTTGCATATAATGTTAATTTTCTGTCAGCGAATTTGCATTATCCTGAAGAACGTTTTCAGGGAAGCGGGATTTACACACCAGAGGGAGCCCTGGCGTTTTACTACAATCGAAGTTCACCCAATGGCCGCCTTCTTGTAAAAGAAGTTCCTATTTTAAACCATAACGGAAATAGATATCGAACAAATATGATAAGTTTTGCTGAGACTGGCATTTTCAAAAATTATGATTTCCAAGGTAAAGTTTTCTGGGATACGTATAATTTCGTAAGTCTCAAGTCAGAAAAAGATAATTTAATTGTTTGCCAAGGCGATCTTTGCTGCTCCTTGCGTATGAAGAGAGATTGATGTTTAAAGGTTTAATTGAAATTTGGGCGTGTTGATGGAAAATGCCCCACATGGGGGTCCGTTTATCTACAGGTATCACTTTTTTAGAAGGTGGGGTACCTGAATGATAAGAAAATTGCAATCTCTCCCCTTTTGTCCAGCAAAGGGAATTTTAGGCCCAATTAAAATACCCCAAAGGGAAATTTTCCCCAAACTCCGAAATTGGAAAACACCAAAAGGTCGTTAAAACCAACAAAGGGGAAACCTTGAGCTGCCACCGGGTCTAGGGATTTAAAATTTTTTTTTGCCAAAATCCTTTAACCCCTTTTAAAGGGTCAAAACCCAGGAAACCTCTTTTGGAAGAAATCGTTTTTGGGACGCATTTATGACAGGGAATAATTTTCATTAATTTTGTTTATAAATAAATAAACTGTTTTATTTGATTTATATGTTTATACCATTTTGACTATTTCTTTTGCGATGCAAGATCTTATCATTATACGTTGACAAATACATCAGGAGGTATCATAACAGGGAAATTATTTCGAAATGTAAAATTCAATATCTATTTTTTTTTGTTGAAATTAGACATCCAGTTTGAAATACTATCAAATTCACATTTATAAAAAAGGTAAAATAAGAGGTGTCACGTGAACAAATTGAGTTAAAATGTTGATTGCGAAAATATCGAAAGAAAATATCGAAAGACCCTGAATATTTATCAAAATCATCTGAAAACCAAAGCAGACGCACCGGTATAGTGACAATTCGTATATTAACACAGCAACCCTGTCTATTCCGTAGCAAATAATCGTGGGCGGGAAAGCGAAAGATAGAAATCAGGTAAATGAAAATGTTTTAACCTATAACCAGAAAAGATACCAAACATTAAAAAATCCGAATAAACAAAATTTCGGACTTCGACGAACCAATTTAACAATGCATTATGTGGGAATAATATTATCCGAAGCATACCCCAATAATACGGTTCCGCGGCGGCTTATTTTAAATTTTGGTAAAAGATTTATGGGCCTATTTTTGTGTTGGACGAGTCTATATCAAAGGTTAGGCAGTATCCCATATTCGAGCTAAGAAAGTTAATAGAAGTTTTTATTGGTTAAATTGTCAAAAAAAAGATCGACAGTGTTGTAATTCCAGTTCCTAGCTGTGTGACTTTGCCTTCATGGTAATGAGTAACATTCCTTTCATGATACACAGAAAAGTACAAATAACCGTTTAAGTATGTCTTTATTCGGTAGCTAGTGATTATATTTAAATGAACACTTCCAGAGATTCCTTATCATTTAAAAAATCCAAAAATATGTTTCCGATTTTGTTTACCTTTTTATATGTGTTGATAAATCCGATTAAAAAGGCTATCGTGTTAATGTGTATTATACACGAAAAAAAAACCACTAAGGAACAATTTTAATCAGTTTGCGGTTAAACGATTATCTAAGGTGATTTTAAACTGAAATTATTTAATTTCATAAACTTAGATGTATTGTTTTAAAAATCAGTTGGGGAAAAAAGGGTTTAAATGAAATCTTTTTTGTGTGTTCTTTAAACTTTTAATTTCGAAAATTTTGTGAATTGTAATAGCTACACTTTCTTTGCGGGGCTGGGAAACTTAGTGCGAAAAAATTAAAGTGGAAAGGGCATTATTTAAAAGAAAGTATAAACATAAACTGTAAATATTTAAAGGGGCATAAATATTAGGGCATGAGGGAAATTTTAAAACGCGCAGCATTTTTAAATCTAACCCGTTATCTTCAAATACAAGTCAAGGGTTTTGGGGTTGACTATGAAAATCTGTAATATTATTATGACATTGACAATGCCCATAGTCAAAGCAATTTCAGAACATTTTTAACGAAGGATTAATTTTCATGAAAAATTTTTCGGGGCGCAACTTATTATTCATGTCAAAATATTCTGCGTGCATCCTCCAAAAATCATTAATCAGAACTGTAACAGATCGGTTTGTTTGGAGTCTTTTAGGGGTACTGAAAGAGCCCCCAACATACCTCACGGTCCGTAACCCTATTTGGGTTTTTGGTTGGGTTTTGCCCAGCATTCGCACTTAAGGAAAATAAGTTTCTGAAATGTAAAGGAAATTTTCATGTGACTCCTGTATACAAAGTTTGTAAGACCGTGACAAAATAAAAGGACATTTAAAAAAAAGTGTTTTTAATTAGATTTTCAAAACCAGTCTCAATTTCGAGTTATATCCTTTTAAAAGTCTCTTTTTAGTATTTGAACGAATTAATTGGGTAACTATCCAGTTAAATTGAACCAACTTCCAAATGCTATGAGATAGGAGGGAACACTTAAGGTATTATTATTTGTTTGTCCCTGAAGTACCACCTAGGGTCATTAAATAATTACTTCATAGACTATCTGTTGCAAACCAAGGCGGTACCTTATCAGGTATTTACCGAAATTTACAGATACCCGCTGTTACCTAAAAATTGTAGTGGAATCGGTGAAAAAATGACTAGTGATTAATATAATAATATATATATATAATATGGATAAAGTCGATTTGAATTTATATGTTAATCAAGCAATAAGTTATCCGCTAAAGGACATAAAGCAACGACCATAGTATGTTTTCGTGTCCAAAAATGATCGCTTAAAAAAATATTATTTTGTGGACATATGCCAATGTGTTGCATGTCAATCTCAAAAGTCAATGACGTTGCAAGGGAATCGAACAATTGTGTTAGCCGTAGAACCTTTAGTGCTGGTAAGTTGTGTAACGTCCCTGGGCCATAATGCCTGCATGCATAATAAAGTTTTAAATATATGGTGCAACTCAATAAAACCGAAGGAAGGCAATGTAATATATGTCGTGATTTTACTCACATTTTTTTATATCTTTGTACATTTCTTTTCGTATTTTTCAATTTTACGCAGTGTCACATCCTTCGCTTTTTCGCATTGTTTCAAGTCGTTTTGTTGCATTCTTAATGTTTGGCATCGTTTTGCTCATTTGCACCTGGCGGTTACGCATAAGAAGATTGTTACACATATGTCACAGCATGATTAAGAATGAAACGAAAATGGTAACCATATTCAGTTATCGAGCCATATGATCTAGTATTGAAACAAATCGTTAAACATAATATGGTAAACATTTATATTCATTTGGCCATCCTTTTAATGTAATATCTTATTCAATTACCCAAAATTTTGGCAATTTCAATCTGCAAATCTTACAATAGTAACGATTAAGATCTTTATATCCCTTAATTATTGTACTTAATCGTATCGGCAACTGTCCACCGTTCCCCACCCACCCCCAATGACGTCATCCAAGGACGACAACTTAAATCTGGTCTTAAATGAAAGGATTTATATGTAAACTGGTATCTGAGTTAAGAAACGAGCACATGACGCACATACCTAGGGCTGAATATCGGGATATTAACTTGAAATGAAATTAGCCGATATCACTGGCTAGCCCGTTACGCAAAAACGTGTTTCTGCTGCTCTGGCTAATGTCTGGCTAACTTCATGGACATCTTTGTTTATTAGCTTTAGAAATCTTACAATAATAGGTCGATTTTACCCATTGTACCTTTTAAGCCTGTCTGTTATACCGATGTTCTGTTCTGTTATTTTCATTTTCAATCTTCCAATTATGAAAGACACGCCCTTGGTAAATGTTTTTTATGGATTGGTTTCCTAATATATTGTCACGCCATACATCCTAATGTTGTTTCTATGGCTACATCGATTTAAGTAATTAGCTATTTGTTTCGATTGTTGCAGCTTTATCTTGAATAAACTTTGAAATGCTCGTTGTGTCATCTTTAACCTTTCTTTTTTACATGTTTCAGTCGCCTGATTATGAAAACCCCATTCGTGTTTTTCGGGGCGCTTTATCATTCAGCTTAGACACTTAACTTTGTTTTATGAACACGGCCGAAAACATCAAGGACATCTGCATTGTTCGAGTTGTCAATAGCATGTTCAAACAGTTACTGATGTTTTATTTGGTGTCGTGCTTATGGACATTAAGCAAGCTACTGATTAATTCAATTTGGAAAGTTTTTATCTGGATATTCTTGTTTGAGAGGTAATAAATCCTTTAAAAAGAGATTAAATATGTGCACTGTGTGCAAATATTTGGATAGGCTCAAAAGTGAAAAAAACCTATTGCAAATATAATGCAAATGGAAAATAAATAATAGAACGCATTTTCTACACAATCATCTAAATTTGGGATGTTTTCTTTATGTGTAGGTTTAAGTTAATATCAAGGCCTTTTTCATATAACGTGACTGACAAACTGACAAATTTATAATCTTTTATTAAACCACGACAATCAGACAATTACAAGGAATGTTCGCTATTCACTTTTGAAATTTAATAGAATACGCTCATACAAGATGTCCTTTAGTACTAATGGATTTTCGTTAATGTACTTTTATTTTGGGTTGTAAACTTGTGCCATTTTACCTTCAAGGTCATCCATTCTAATATCATTCGTAACTTATATTTTGTTATGAACATATGGGAACTAACTGTTTCTGTATTGCACGTGTAGTTTACTTTGGAACGTTAATGTTTAAATGTTTATGTCCAGATTAATACAATATTTTTTTTTACTTTTAAATTGATGGTATCCTTGAACACTATGATACGTGGTGATAATATAGGTGTAAACAGGATGAAACCTGATGACACAATGATTATGCAAGGACAAAGCAATTGACACTGGTACGGTAAACATATTTTGCTGTCACAGCTGCGTGTTTTTGTTTGATAAAATGCATATGGATAAACTATTTTATTGTAAGTTACTAATGTCATCGACATCTAGCCTTGATGACCGACGACACTGAAACACGATTAGAAGTGGAGTGAAAGATGTAGAATATACATGTAGCTCGTCATATACGCAAACAATTTAATATCATTGGAACGAATATCAGTACATCTACCGCAAATGTCAAGATGTTCTTTTTGACTTATAAAGGTATCAATAATCAAATTATGAAAAATTCAATAAAAATCTTGATTCAATGTTTGTATTTTCATGTAGCTCGTACATCTACGACATCGGTGTACATATTTGGCATAATCTGATTTACGGCATGATAAACACTCACCGAAAATAAACCGAAAAATCAACTTCATTTTCATATAATTCTCTTACAAATACACGACAAATTCTGAAGCTCGGAAATTCTCACGCACTATGAATGTAAAATAATGAATAATTTCAGGAGGAAACAAAGCATTGCCACAAATAGAGATTATGAAAAGAAATTTAGAGAGAAAAATCACTTAACGTAATGTAAACATCTTTTAACCTTGAATATAGCAATGTTCTCTGAATGATGAAGACAAGATAATGAACAAATTCAATTTATCGCAGCAAGGATAGTGACTGGTACTACAAAACTTGTTTCTATTGAAAACTTCTTAGATGCATCTTAAATTGGTTGGGGAACATTTCAGAAGATAGAAACACAATTTGATACTGTTTTACAAAATAAAACATATCCTCTTATATCCTCTTATCTCCAAACCCCCGAACCATCAAATGTAGGAAAGGACAACAGATATTCCTTAAGGAACGCCAAACACATACAAACCATATTAACACATACCGTTTCCTTTATAATACATTTTCCAATCTGTTAGGGACTGTAAATATCTTTCAGATGAAACACTCAGTGTTTCTTCCCTACTTTCTTTTAAGCGTCTTTCGCATTATAAAACGGATGTTTTCATACAAATTCAATCTTTTTAAGAGATGATTACTTTTTAGTAAACGACCTTGAAACTAAAACGTTAAAAGTTTGTTTGCACAAGAATATCTCATATTTGCTGGATCCAATTTACCATTTGATTAACGCATTAAAGAGCTAATTAACAAGTTTCATTTGCCTTTAAAAATTTGTAACACTTTAGTGTTTGGGTGTTATGAAGATTAAAAACAAAAACTGTTAAAATGTTCCGAAACTTGAAAGCTTTTTTAAGAGCACACTCCAGATTCAAGCTAATTATCATGAACATTTTGGAATGTATCTAAAAGTATAACTTTGTGAAGTGACCAAAAGAAAGCAATTTACACATTATCAATGGCAACCCAGGTAAATTACCGAAAACAGGTCAAAATATGCAAAAATTGACCTTACTGCGTTAGTAACGCAGTAGAAATATAGTTATAAATACAGAGAAATCAGACATTAATCGCACATAACATTTAAATTATTACTTGAATATTGAATATTTTAACTTTTCATAAAATCTTAGAACATTTTTCTAAAGTTTGATTTTATTGAAACATTTTGGCTCATCTGGAGGCATGTAGCTTTCAGCCGACTGAAAAATAAGTTTGCATATTTTATTTAATGTAGCTTTTAACTCCAAGTCAACATAAAAGTTGTAATATTTGTTTACTACTCCCAACAGAATGCGCTGTTTTAGAATCTTTAAAAGAACAACTATTGATGTACACTGTCAACTGAAAGGTGTTTAAAATACATGTGTAAATCTTTACAGTGTATCAAACAACAACCATTTATTTTAAATATGCCAGTTCTTTAGAAATTTTTTTTTGCTTATATGACATGGTGGTTAAAGTTTGCACGAGAGCCTGGCTACGTGTTTACTAGATATGTGGACAAGTTCGTGCACATTAAGAATACTACTTAATTAGTAAGTGATCTTTAAGTTAGTTATTGTCTTTAATTACCATTGAAACGAATCAACTCTACGAGAAGGACTTTCACGCTTGCTTACTTCCGAGCAAAAGAGTACAATTGTGTTCTTTGCTTGATCTAGAGTAATATAGCTTAAAAGAACATTTTGGGAATAATCCACAATATTTATGAGTAAAGCATTTCAATACAAGTAACTTGTGTTTCATTCCCGTTGTCTACATTAGGTGTAAGATTTTGATGTGTATCAGTGTCTTTATCCATTTGTTTACATTAAATAATTCAAACACTGCAATCACACTATTGAAGGCCAAGAAATTAAGAAAATGATTACTCATCCGGAACAAATATTCATTTTTATTGTTTCCTTAAATACCTTTTTTTCGAAATATTTGTACATAAGTATTTAAGTATTTTATATGAACATGTGGAAGATTTTCGATTATTCGTGTTAAACATTAATTGTTTGGTTCTTTTTGTCATAAACCAAACATTTTAAATGATGAAACCATCCTTTTCATGGCTAGGGGTTTAAAACGCAAAGTAAAGACTCAACGTAAGGCTTATTCGGTGAAATGTAAGCGACCCTGCAGTGTCTGAAAAGAGGATTTGATGTCAGTTCTTTATTTACAAATTTAGGAGTATACGTTTCATACGATCTTGTCTGTAAATTTATTTTTCTTAACACCTTCAGTTAATAGGTCAAGATGTCTGCGGAAAATGACGTGTTTTTTGTTTCTGGGAAGACGCATCCAAGTGTTTACTTGTTTAAAGTGTTTTAAAGTGTGTACGTGCAAATTATTTTGTACGAAGGGATTTTTGTAATTATGTTTTATTCACAATAGTGAAAGGTTCCTTATTGAAAATATGCGCTTTATTAAATGAAATATATCATTATTGCATTTAAACTTTTAACAAAAATTGAAATATGAGCCATGCATATACAAATGAATCCCGTCAGGAACCTCAAAGGATTACTTTAACAGATTTGTGTTTTTTGCAATTGAGACAGATTAAAGATTGCCTTTGACAAAACAAGTTATTTCTATTAATATTTTCCGGGAGGAATCTCGAATCGTTTTCATAATTACGGAATAACAGATCATTTTCAAAAATTATTGTATTTTGAACTAATTTGTTTGAGCGAATCGTGAAATATGGTGACAAAAATCATATCTGTGTGTTTGTTCATTTTCATATTTTCTAACATCGTGCATGTTTCCGAAATGTTACTGTTAGGAACAAATCGCAAGCCTGCTTTTTATAAAGCAGCTGTGTTTGAGCACGCTGTTATATTCCCAGAAAAGAGAGCAAGTTCATACGATGAAGCAGTTTCACAAATGTTTCCGAATCTTGACGAATATAAAAGACAGGCAGATATAGCAGGGACACTCGTATGTATTTTAAATATATTGATTACACATTTTGCATTGTTCGTGTTACATTTTTTCGTGTTACATTTTTTCGCAGTAATTATGTTACAAAAAAATATTAATAAACTAAACATTAGAGGTAAAATTAATTTCGTGTATATTTAATTGTGTATGGGTTTCCGTCCATTCGTAAAATTATTAAGGATTACAGAGAAGTTATTACACTACCAACTTAAATGAATTTGACATATATCAATATCACGCAAACAATTTTATATGTCTATATTTGTTTTTCTTTAAACAAAGAATGATTGTTGTGAAGGATAGTTGTCTCGAGATATATGTTCCATCTAATTTAGGTCTGTGTCAATAAGCATACTTATTAATTGATATACAAAGAAAGTATTTTATTAATATAACTATATATATATATATAAATTTAGTAACAACTTGCCGCGGATTAAAAAAAACAACTCCCTGGCCTAGGAAAATTTTGTCTCCCAAATGTACATTTTGCTAGAAAAAAAAACTTTTTGTAAACAATATTCTTGCATGTGCAAATTTTCCATTCTTCAACAGTTTTCAGAAAAGTGAAGAGTGTGACAGTATGCACCCATTTTTTGTTAGCCTGTTAGTAAAGTACAGTATGTATATTTACCAGAATAAAAAACTTGTACTGGCCTGAAATATGGGCGTTGTTTAAGAGATTTTCCGGAGGCGATTTTGTCCCAAAATAGAAAATATGTTTAACCTAATATTTATTTTAGAAAAAAAATCGTCTATTCCACGACGCCGACACCGGTACGGTGGACCATAATCTTTCGGAAATGTTGATGCTAAATAAATATTAACCTCTCGGTCCTTTTTTGTCTTACTTGATTTCTTTCTATCAACTTGAAATTCCTTAGATGAAATGAAAAAATTATAAGTTTAGATTTTTTTAATGGGACGTGTTTCCTTGCAGAAATCATTTTTTTTACACCATTCAGGCCAACTTTCTAAGTTTTACATCGTAATATCTAATTTCAAGGTTCTGTATTTTGATTTTCTTTTGTAAATTTACTTGAAGATCAAAATCGTAACTTTCATTTTTTTACAAAAAAAATGGAAAATTGAATGATTACATATAAAACAAAACAAATATAATATAAAACAATTATCATATTATTGTTAAAATAAATAAATATTGTGCAGTACCCTTATATTGGGTAAGTTTGGACAAGAAAGAGAGAAAATATTTAGCGGCGCTGCGTTTTAGTTCAGTAATATTGAAAAAATATCTGCGTTAATTCCCCGAATAGCGCTTCGTCATGCAAATATTTCAGAAAAGACAATAATAATCAATAATTTATTATATTGTATAAAAGTAAACATATTTAATGAATCTTTATTTATAACCATTTATACCACAATTATTGTTACTTACTAATGTTTTTTTTTTTCTCTCACAGATCTGATATTGGTTCGGTATTAAAACATATTTACACCTATTGGTCACATTACCAAAAGGCAAGGCGCTAAATAATTTCTCTCCTTCTCGTCCAAACCTATGAAACTTACCAATACTTTTACTTGCGATTTTCGATTAATGTTTTAAGAAATATAATTAAGGAATAATAACTTATGTTTATTAGTTTTCATGTTTTTACACTTATTGCTACGGAAAAATATGTGACCACATTCAATTGTTTTCTTTATTTTTATTTTATTTGGTAACCATAGTTTACCCATTTGTTTTTCCTAATAATAAGCATAGTTTTACACATATATATACACACACACGCGCGCGCGCGCACACACGCACGCACGCACGCACGCACGCACGCACACACACACACACACACAAATTGTCTTTTTAAAAGTTTTAAAATTATATATAATAAATGATTGTACTAATTCAGCAAAAGATTTTAATTTTTAACAATTCTATGGGAGTTACTTTTAAAGTAATAAATTTTTTTATTACAAATCTAAGCCGTCGATAATTAACTCTTTATGTCAAACATGTAACTAGAAATATAATAACGTAATTCTTATTTTACTGGAAAATATATATATCAACTTTGGATGTTTATACTATTTGATTAACTGTAACTTAACAATTTTTACTGAAGAAATATACTCATTATTATAGCATTGTATTTTCATTCATGATTAATAGAATAGCATCAAAACAATTCACTGAATGTAATATAGATAACATACATATACCTTCACAAGGAAAGAAAAAAAGTGATCCATACACATTTACAGAGAAAACGTGTTTAATGTATCTACCTAACTTACTCACACGCGCAGTAGAAAAAGTAGTGAAAATGTTTTAGTGCTAACAGAATCACTTAATTCAGTGTGATAGTTTTTAATTGTTATACGTAGACAGCTTGTTTGAAATATTGAGCTATAAAAAGTAAAAAGAGAGAGAAAGAGAGAGAAAGTTATTATAAAAAAGGAAAAGGAAAGAAAACTTATATAAAAGGCTTTTGGAACCAACTACTAGAGTTTTCGTTAAGCGGTAACCTTACACATAAATGAATTGACATGCACATATTTCTGGAGGAATTTTTCAGGTTTTAGTGAAGGAAGAGTTTATAAAATAATTATGATTAAATTATATACATGTAGTAACACCCCTACAAGCTAATTGTCAATTAATTTAATTCTAAAATAAGAGTGAATTTCTTTAAGACATCACAGTCATAAAGGGCTCACTAAATTATTTAATTTTTCTCATGCTTTTTCAAATTCATATTGCTTGAATGACTGTTTGGACATGTATTTATCAATTTTATAACTGAGTTGTTGTTTAAATGTTCTTTTTTCGAACCTTAATTAATTTAATCTACAGTAATATATATATATATATTATGTAATATTTGGCATGTAATATTATTTTACTTATAACTTCATCGAGATGTGTACTGCCAAACAAAATATGTAACTGACTTCAGGTTTGAATGTTAAGGTTGCATCTATCATTAATATAAACTTGTAAGTGTTCCCAAATATTTTGTATTGCATCACAGTCAAAGAAAAGCTAAATCATCAATGTTTTTTTCTTTTTCATTATAATGGCAAAGTGAACAATTATCCTCATCAATTATATTCATTTTCTTAAGCAAATGGTTTGTTGAAAGAATTCTATGGTTTATTCTTAACTGAAACCATATTAACTTTGGGTCCTCTCTATATTTGTAAACCAAATTATACACAGATTTTTTTCAAAACATTCACTGTTATCTATAGTCCTAAAATCATTTTTCCACTTATTTAATGATTTTGGATACTTTTATTCAGCTTGCATTGCTATATAAATCATGTAAATAGAACGGCATCCTTTTTTCCCAATTAATTATTCATATAGGATTTAAAATAAGTATGTTAAATTTATGTTGTTTTGGTAAATCTTGAACATTTTCTTTTAAAAAAATATTTAAACTGAATCTACTATACCTCTATATTCTAAAAGAAAATAGTTCTAATATTAAATGTTGAGGAAAATTCATCATATGTATAAAACTCCCCCTCTTGGTTGATCAGATCTCCTTTAATAAGAATACCACCTTTTATTCATCTATTTAAGCAAATACTAAAGTTTCCAATTTTTATGTCGGATTAAATCATAAGTTCACAAAATAGTACTTCTTACTATAAACATATTTTTAAATTCATAGAATGTCTGATAACTATAAAAAAGGATTAATGTCTAAATGTAATTTTGTCTTGATATAATCTGTTCCAAATTTATAGATTTGTTTTATGAAAGGATAAGTTCCTTCAACCAATTGGCAGTACATTTTTTTCCAGTTTAATCCAGTTTTGTTTGTTTTAACAATTAGCAACACTTAGCAGAAGTTTTTCACAAAAATGAGCGGAAACCGCACATTGGTGTGTGTATGTTGCAAACACGTGTCAAAATCTAGTACGCCTCGCGGGAAGGCTCGCGGCTGAAAGAGGCTCGTATATTTTTTTTATCGGTCGCCGGTCTTAATTACGGGGTTGAAATTAAACTAAAAATGACCATTGGGACTAAATTTGGTGGTCGTAAAAGCGGATAACCGGGATGGTCTTAAATGTGAATCAAACGACCATTAAAATAAAGAATAAAAAATTCGGGACTGAAAAAAATCGGTCGTATTAGCGGGTTTGTCTTAAAAACGGGGTGGTTGTAAGGAGGGTTTCTACTGTATTTGTTATTTGAGTGAGCAATGTAGCTTTTAAACTCCAATAAAACATTAAGAACTGTCATTTTTTATCCTCCAAATTTATATTCTTGAGTTATAATGTTTCTTTTGGCTTTATCTCTACCATTATTCAAGAGAAACTTGAAGAAATTTTTTTTTAATTATGTTTATTAAAGGTGGATTTGGTATACTTAAAATAAGATGGTTCAGTTTTGCTAGGGCAAGTGATTTTATAATGACTAGTTTACCAATTTTAGAGACCAATTTTTCAAATATTTTTTGTCTAATTGTTCTATTTTAAGTCATAGTTTAGTTCTACTATTTTCTTTAAATCAGAAAAAAAATACACTAAGCAAAGTAAAACCATCATTATTCCTGTCAAGGTTGTATTCAGGACATAAAATCATGTTACTGTTTTTATTTGTGGCAAACCAAACCACCTATGTTTTTTCCATGTTTATATTAAGGCCTGAAATTTTAGCATAGACTTTTAAACTCAGCGTTTTTGTTTTAAGAGACTGTTTTGTACCATCTAGGGATAAACTTATGCCATCTGCATATTGAGAAATGTTATACGCAATTCCATTTAATTTTATTCCTTTAATATTTTGATTTTTCCTTATTAATATTGAAAGTATTTCACCACATGGAATGAACAAGTACGGTGCCAGGGCATTTTCTTGATGACAACCCCTCAGAAGTGGGAATCACCCTGACATGTGTCCATTAATGATAACCCGTGATTCTTTATTTGTGTAAAATAATCTTATTCAAGACTTTATTGAGGGACAAAAATTAAAAATCTCGATGACCATGTGCATAACATTCCATGACATAGTA